TAAAAATCACACTATTTTATTTCTTTATTCTCTTATCAGCAGCCCCTGTTATCTACTGCCTTGGCCTATCCAAAACACTTATCAGAACTTTACTGCAATGTCATGAATTAAAAAGGATGTTCTGCCAATGTAAGGCAAGTGGGAATTAATGGCCACTAATATATTCTTTGTCAGGTTTATCACCTAGAAGTATCAGTGAAGTGGATGAGAGTAGGGATTTTTTGTTTCTCTCATAAGGTAATCTCTTAAACATTAGCCAGATAAACTGTTATGAAATTAAAACAATTTGAATTGCATAGAATATTTAAAAAATCTTACCCCTTGAAAACAGTCTTTTATTCATTGTTAACAATTATGGAACTGTTTTCTGAAGTACTTTAAGAGTAGAATAGTTATTTGTCTGGAATGTCTGTCTTGAGCTACAGAGCTTGTTCTTGACCTGCCCCCTCTGTAATCCTTTCCAGGGTTACACTGAAGGAAAGCTGTATCTCTAATTTATGAGCAGTATTCTATTATCTAGTCTAGTTTGTTATTTTTAAAGTTGTGACTTTTTGTCTGTTCCCTCCCCACTTTGTCATCTAACTCAGTAAACAGGTGAGTAGTTAACTTCCCTCAGTAAGGTGTGAGGCATTTTCAATTAATTGAATTATTGGAATGATCCTTTGCCACGTAATCTAAAAGAATTAGGATCATTTCTGGAAGCTACCATGGGAGATTAAAAATAACAAGTAAGAGAGATTTCTTGGTTTCTTTACAAATGATGAATTTCATATAGGAGTTTCCAGGCAACCAGTGTGTTTGATGATTGTTAGAGCAGAGATCAAAAGAAATAATCAGTTCTCCTCCAAGATTTGACTTCCCTGAAGTTCAGCAATGTGAAATCACCATCTGTCAACTCAAAAGCAACCTACCACGTCCTGCAGGAGTCAGGGTGGAACTGGTGCCCATCTTTCTATTGGCAAGTAGAATATTTTGCAGAACAGATCCATATTATCTGTTTCCAAAGTCCAGAAGGAAATGAGAGCAAGTAACTCCTGCAGTAAATCAGAATGAGTAAACACACCAGTGTTGTGGGAACTCGAGTTACACTCTTAATTTGTTCTATCTGTTGTTTGTTGTGAATTGAAAATTTGACAGCAGTTAGAAACAGAGATTTATTTTCCATGTGTGGGCTGATGCCAGATTTTGTGCTGAACTTTGTTCTTCTTTTCTCTGGAGCTGGAAGGTTTATTTTGTGTTTGAAGATTTCTTTAGCTGCAGTTGAGAGATTCATGCCCATGGCATGGTGTGGTGTGCATCTTGAATGGCAGCTGGAAGTTGCCGAGTGCTCTTCTGTGACAGGTTAACTCTTCTTATAATCTCTCTGTATTAACTTTCATTTTGATGATTTTTTTAGGAAGCAAGATTAAAATATGCTGGTTACTGTTAAAATCATGTCTGACACTACTCATTCCAAACATCCAATCCTTTAACTGCAGTTACTTCAGAATTCCCTCAGAATTTGATATGGTTGTAAAGTCAAATTTGGAGAAAAGTTTTAGAGAGACATTATCATGCCTTCAGTCAACAGAGTTGGAAAACACTGATAATCTTTGACATACAGTTGTTTCATCAGATCCAGCAGTGATAGAGACCTTTCTGCTAAAGTCATGCTTGAAGAATTCAGCCTGAGCAGTTCAGCTCATTGTGATTTGTGATGGCTGTAGGTAAGGCATGCACGTGCCAAAGCAGTTCTGAAATGTATTAATAAAGTTTAATTTCCAAAGTCTGAAATAAGATTTAGCTTGATCTCCTGGAGGCATTGCAAACAGACTGAGCCTTGACAAACAAAGCACATGTGAAAAGTGCTTTTATGGAAATGATTTGCTGAACTTCACCTCTTCGGGCTCATATTCTGCAATTCCATTAGCAGTGTATCTTTGCTGGCAAAACATTACTGTGTTTTTGCTTTTAGTTGGAAAGTTACACAATTAAAACCAGAGACTTTAAAAATTGATTTATTCTGGATATCCCAGAGCAGAGTTTTTAATATGTAATAGTTAAAACACTAAAAGCTTTAAAGTAGAAATTAGGTAATATTCATTCATTGTGTTTGCACACTTCCTATGTATATAATTTCACACTTTTTATAGAAAATACACTTTTTAAAAAAAACTTCTCCATAATACCTGGATGATGTGCTTCATGGTATCATGGATGTTGATCTCAAATGAAGAAGGCAGCATGGAGATGTTTCTTTGGAAACACAGGAATTGGCTCTTCATGCTGCTTCAGTGGAAGGTGACTGTGTATGACAAACACACCATTCCATCCTGCAAGAAACTCCTGACAGCTTCAGTCCTTGCCCTCCTCTGTTTGCCATGATTTGCAGAGCAGGCCACTGTACAGCTCATCACTGTACACACAATTCTGTAACGTGGCTGTGGAAAAGTTTTCCTACTACTGGGATCAAAACATGGGAAAAATTTGAAAAATTACCAGAAATTTGAAAAATTACCAGAATCAAGAATTTGACTTTATTCCATTTTTTGCCACTAGTCTCAGCGCTGTTCAGGTATAAGAGGTGATTGTGTTTCTGTCTTCTCATGTTGTTTCTCAGGGCTTTGTTCAGCATTTGGTGGCACTTGATGTGTGATGTGTGGCCCTGAAATCAGGCAGTGTTCCCAAAGGTGCCAGGTGTAGGTTCAGACAAAAGGAAGTTCAAACATCACACAAAGCCATAAATGTAGCAGATAACACAGAGAAGGGATCTAACCCATGGTTCTGTCTCCTGGGTGAGGAACATTTTCTGAACTGCAGTGACAGGAAATTTGTGGAAAGTGAGTCTCAGCTAGTTTAGAGTTTTGTCTCCCATCAAAATTTTCAAAAATTCCTTATAATGCTTTGAATATAAGGAAGTGGCAATCTCTGTGTAGCCCACATATGGGCATTAGGAATGAAAAATTATGGTAAAAACTCATCAGTAAACCAATCTTTGGAACAAATTTTTCTGTATTGTGGATGTTATCTGACATCAGGCAGCAGAGCATGAAAAATAAATCTGCTGCTTCAAATCTCTTTGACAGTGATTAGAATTTAGCATAGGGAGAAAGAAAAATAGAAATCTGTGGAAGGATAAATAACTGAGGTGCTTTTGTAGTTTTGCTGTCTTCACTTTCAGAGAGTGGGGCTGTGCAAAAGCTTGATGGCTCAAGGGTGGCTGCTTTTGCTTCAGGAGCTGCAGCTCTTCTCCAGCTTCACTGTGGATGGCTGTGCTGCAGGGACAGGAACTGCCCTGGTCAGGTGTCTGTGAGGAAGGACAGGTCAGGAAACAGCCTGGCAAGGTGGTCAAATGTGCAGGTGGCAGTTGCTGACAAAGTGTGTGAAGAGACCAAGTTAGCAGGACCCTTTCTGGTGGTGGAGAAGTAAAAGGTACAACACAACTAAGGTCAGAGTGACCAGGGATAGGTAGGAGTTTAGTCCTTGGGAAGAGGAGGAAGTCTCAGATGCACACTCAGGTTATGTGAAAACTACAGGAAAGCTGAATTTGTACAGCTCAGGAATTATATATAATGCTACTAGAAATAAATAAAGACATCTGTAGCAGTTTTGAGGGAAAAAAAGCCCCAAAGAACAAAAAGCTAAATCTTTCATAAGTGAGTCAGTAGTAAGAGCAAGGTCAGTGGGACAGAGGGAACCACTGATGGGTGGCATCAGGAATATTTTAAATACTTTTCCCCGTCATCTGCAAACTTAGAACTAAACTACAGTGAGATAGAGCCTTCAGGAAATAGTTTCCAGTTGTCTGGAAATGCTGACATGTCATCATGTGCAATTGTTCATCATGTAGCAGACTAAGCAGAGGATGGATTGGAGCAATGTGGTCACTTCAAGAGCATGAAAACTACAAAAGAGAAAAAAGCCAACCAATGTTAATAGGTGAGAAAGTTAGAACTGAGGAAGTGTAAATCAGTCAGAGTAACTGTTACAATGATCCTGGGGGGGAAAAAAACCCCAAAGAAGCCATTTCTGTGCATGTTGAACTAAATCAGTCAGAGTAACTGTTACAATGATCCTGGGGGGGAAAAGCCCCAAAGCAGCCATTTCTGTGCATGTTGAATTTTTCAGGAGAGAAATGCAGAGTCACTGGCATTTGTGGAGAGCAGGTTATGCCAAAGGGGTTAGTTAAACAGCAGCCTTCAATAAATTTTTGGTTGAGACAGACCAGAGAAGAGTGCTAGGCAACAGAAAGGCAAAATTCCAGTATGGAATACTGGTGACACAACTGTGTAATTGGGTAAGAAATAAAGAAATACGAAAGTTTCTTTTATTTTGGCCAGAGCAGCTCTGCACCCAAATACAGATGTGTGGGTCTCACAGTGCAAAATGGGGTCTGGTCACACTGTAAACTTGATTAATGTGTTAAAAGGAGATCAGACACTGAGGGATAGAGGCAGCACTGTTCCTGGGGGACATGTGGGTAAGGCCTCTGAACTTTCCAGCTGGAGGCACTGTGCTTCAGAAGGAACCACTTGGAAGAAGCAGAGAATGCAACAGGAATGAGTAGAGATCTTGGAGAAAAGCCTTGCAAAGAGGGAAGGAATCTGAGCACCTGAGTGAAAGGAAGATTGGAATTATAAATGCTGAGATACCTGGCTAATTTCCTGCAGCAGCCATTCCCTGCAGAATGGCTGCTGCAGGGAAGGAAATTATACTTTCTATGTGCCTGTGATGGATCAGATAAGAAATTATGGGCTAAAATTTCAGCAGGGAAGATTGAGGGGGGACATTAGGAAAATCTGGTATGAAAGCTATCTTGAGAAGTGAGATAAAACACTTGGGAAATGTGCAGACTCCATTGCTGGAGGCCTTCCTTGCTGGGCTGGGCTAATGTCACCTTGTGTGTATCAGGAATAGTTCCTTTGACCAGGTGAGCAGCCTGCATCGCCTCTCAAATCCCCATTTTTAGTCTTCAGGTATTAATAATTACAAATTTCAAATTTATGAGACGCATTCCCCATCAAAGTTGGTCCAAGATAGAAAGGGAACAGATGTGCTCTGCCAGCACAGTTAGTTGGAAGCTGGACTTCATTTTGCTCCCAAGCTTTTTGTTGGGCTGTGACTCATTTCTTGGGGTTCTTCTTTGTGTGTCTGTGTACCCTGACTGGCAAAAACAGTTCCCTTCAATAGGTGCCCTATATAAGTACTTGCATTCATAAATTGAAGTTGATTATAGGAAGTTTGTGTTATTTATAGGAAAAATACAAGGAGCCCAGTTTTGACAAATCATTTTAACTAATGGAAATTTCCATCATGTATAGTTAGTTTTAAAGGAATGTAATGTACCACAACAATAGTTCCACTTAAAACTGTTCTTGCAAAATTGACTCTCAAGCCTAGTTCCTGGGTGCATTTGATAATCATTTTCCGAATAGAAAAAAAACCAAACAGATTTGATTTCCATTTATCTGTTGTTTCTGAAATGAGATTGAACCCGACCAGTATTCAGAGGCTATTGCAGAGAAACAGAGAAAAAATGTCTTCAGGAGGAAACCGACTATTTTCAGGAGCCCTTCAGCAGAGCAGTTCTCAAGCCAAGAATAGCGGCAGCGATTGTGCCTCGGTGCTGGAGTGGCAGCGACCCCGAGAGTGTGGCCAGAGCTTTAAAGAGCCATGGTGGTGGTGAGATCCAGGACAGAGGGGCAACACCGCTCCGATGAGCCCCTGGCAGGAACTGAAACAGCACAGTTGAAACATGCCCCATTTACCACGTCATTAATATGTATTTGGGGCAGGTAGGAGGGGAAATAATCGTGAAGGAGAGTATTGGGCACGCTGGAAGTTTGTTTGAATTAGCCTTCAAGATTAGCGTGTGGGCATGGATAAAAGCCCTTTACGTGCAATCTTGGCATTTATGATGATCTTTAGGCCCTAAAATTGTAAAGCTGACCCCATTCTGAGTGTTCCTGTGCCTTGGAGGGAGCCGAGGCTCCCAGCCCAGGGTGTTCCAAGATGGTCGGTCCCGCTGTGCAGGCGCAGCCAGCGCCCGCTCCTGCCGCATTGTTCGGGCAGCTCTTCCCTGCCTCTATAAACAACCGCGCCGCTGATTAATGCGCTCGCATTTGCCACTTAGAGCTGGTTTAGATAGAGGCAGGGAAGTCATTAAGGGCTTGGCAGCAGTCCAGGGTACATCTGGGACTTGGGAGCTGCCGCTGGGGCAGGGAGGAGGGCGGCGGGCGGGAGCTGGGGCAGGGGAGAGGACGCTTGGAACAGGAAGGAGCTGGGGCAGGGAGGAGAGCAATGAGGCAGGAGCTGGTACTGGAGCAGGGAGGAGGGCGATGGGCAGGAGATGGGGCTGGGAGAGGGAGGAGGACACTGGGCAGGAGACACAAATGGGGCTGGGAGAGGGAGGAGGACACTGGGCAGGAGACACAGATGGGGCTGGGAAAAGGAGGAGGACACTGGGCAGGAGACACAGATGGGGCTGGGAGAGGGAGAGAGGCACTGGGGAGGAGGATGCCAGGCAGGAGGAAGGAAGAGGGCACTGGGCAGGAGCAGGGGCAGGAGGAAGGAGGAGGACTCCGAGCAGGGGCAGGAGGAAGGAGGAGGACTCCGAGCAGGGGCAGGCGTTCGGCAGCGCCCGCGTCTTCTCTTGGCTGACTTTCAAAAGCGGCAGAAAAGCAGCTACGGGCGCTAATTGTAGCCGGGTCCCGAAGTGAAAATGTTTTGTGACAGTTGAAAGAATTTAAAGAGGAAGGAAGATCGGTTTAGTGTCAGCTGCAATTAGATAATCAAAGCTTAAAAATCCTGCTCTGTTGATACCTTCACCTAGAGCCGGGGAGCGGAGCTCGGGGAAGGGGGAGGAGGGCTGTGCGTGGAAAGGGCATTTCCATAGCCAGTGCAGCCGAGGCCCGGCCGAGCTCGCAGGTTGTCTGGGCGCGCGCTCGCACAGAGAGATTTTCTTGGCAGCTCTACAGGATGAGGCTTACACTGTACACAGCCGACATATTGAAGCCGGGAGCCCTGGAGAACGTAGAGGCAGGAGTAGAAACAGCTCTGCACACAATGTAGCGTCTCCTAGGATGGTTGGGCGGCTCCTTTCTTCAGGTATTTTATTACCCATCAGCCCTTTTTAGAGCCAAAAAAAGAGAGAAAGTAACCCTAACCCTGAGAAAATAGCATCTGCTTCTGTTAAATCAATTTATTACATAACATTTCAGCGAGAGAGCAGCAGCACAGCGTCCTGAGCTTTTGGCTGCGTTTCAGGTTTGATAAAATGGCGTCTTCGCAGCGAGCTGCCTGTAAAGATATGTTGCACTGAGCAGAAAAATGCAATGATTTGGTGTTTTCTACTGCTGCTTTTGTGTCGGAGAGGTAGCATTTAGTGGAATCTCTACTAATAATGAAAAATCTTGTTTATTTTTGCTTGTTTTCTTAATGCATTTGAAAGCTTTCAGCATCAGAGGGAAGGAACTACGTTTGAATGTCGTAGTGCAGAAAATGAAAAGGGGATAACAGGCTTTCCCCCGTGTGGGCTTAGCTATGGTTTAGTTTTAAAATAAATAAACCTGCTTTATTCAATGCTTCCATCTCCTTTTCTGCCTTTCCACATTATGTGTGCTGTGCAAGATTTCAGCTTCCTCAATCCATGAGACTTGTGAGTGAGCTTTTTAGGGGCTTCAGATAATGCCAGTTTTCAAATCTGTCTCTATGCCTAGAGCTGGATGCAGCAGGTAACCTGAAATGTTAGCACTACAATGCCCAAATTTCTGCTTTATTATATCTTGTGCTTCAGAACAGATGCTTATGTCATGTTTTCTTTATTAAATTAGGCTACATTTGATTTAGCACTTAAAATGTTCTGGTGATTTCTAATTCAGATTTGGAAAAACTCATTTATAGTATTTTAAAGATCTGCTCATGTTGAATTGAAAACTATATTTTGATGGGAGGATAGAAAGTAATTTGCCCTTTTTTTCCCATATTTTGACTTAGAATCACTAACCTTTGTGTGTGCCAAGGAAAATCTCCAGTGGGACTGTCAGTGGCCCTTGGGATTTTTCTGTGTTCTGTGTGTCAGAGCAGGGAGCACCGTCTGTCATCTGTCCTTTGGGCAGCACAGGGCGAGCCAGGGGGTCTGGTTTTGTTACGTGACGAACGTGGGCTGAAAAATAACACGAGTAGTAAGAGAGGAGTCACTGCTAGATCTGATTTTAAAATGGGGTGAGCACAATTTATTAATAATGTTCCATTAAAAGTTTGTCCCAGGCTTTGCCATTTTGTACCCTGTCCGTACTTTGGTTCCAAAGTCAGCTGAATGTTGTGTTATAGTTGGGGAGACAGCATTTGAACAAATGATTGCAACAGAAGCTATGAAGATACAGTTACTTTTAACTCACCTGAACAAAAAATACTAAATATGATTGTAAATGAAATTTTCAGAGGAAGGGGGATGTTGGGGGTCAGTTGCTTGTGCATGCGACGTATTTTGCGTTTCTAAGAAATGCATGCAACAGCTTCTCCCATTTCACTCTACTCATATTTTGCATTTGTAATCTATGTAAACACTAAACTGATTTTGCAACTAATTATTCATTACCCAACACAGCCAAAAATGTTTTCTGTTTTTAATAAGTACTGAATTGAAGCTGGTCAAGTATGTTGGCTACAGTATGTAATAACACCAGCAATCTCCTCCCACCCCATTAAGGATATTATTTAAAAAAAAAAACAAACCAGCAATCCAAAACAAAACAACCCCCTCATGCTATTGGTTATACTGATGAGAGCTGTGTATTTTCCAGGTCATGTGTATGGTTGCAGTTGGACAGAAGTTCTGTGCTTGTTTAAAACAAATTTAAGCCATTATCCTCAAATTAATATTTCCTTCCTGATGGCTGAAGAAATGTTGTTGATCAGGGGAATGATATTTTATAAAAGATGCATAATTAAGATACTGAAACGCAAAGTATTAATTTAAAAATACTTTTCACTTTGTGGTGTCCCAGCACTAGGATTTGCTAACATGGAATACCTGTGGTTCCTGTTCCTTGTGCCTTGTTTACAGTCTTTGCTCAGCTCACAGAGGAGGGATAGAAATGCTTCTGGTGGACTCAGTGCTTTTATTTCACATATTTGCATAAATAAAGAGGAACCGATTCTTAAGAATTTTTAAAGTGGTTTTCACATTTCGATCTTAACAACTTTGAAAAGAAAAGAAAATATTGTGAATTTCTGTGAAGAGTTAGTTTCCTAGAAAGTTGGAGGAAGTGCTTTTATTTCACATATTTGCATAAATAAAGAGGAACCGATTCTTAAGAATTTTTAAAGTGGTTTTCACATTTCGATCTTAACAACTTTGAAAAGAAAAGAAAATATTGTGAATTTCTGTGAAGAGTTGGTTTCCTAGAAAGTTGGAGGAAATATGCATTTTCAAAAAAAACAAAACAAAACAGCCCCAAACAAACAGAAAAGTTCTCTGGATTTAACAATATAAAATATTTTGCATTCATTATTTTTCCCAAATGTTTAAGGAAGTTACAGATTAAGTGAGACTGTGCTACTCATAATTTATTTCATAGCAGCAAGCCCCTTTTAGTTAAAAGAAAGTGGAAAAATGCCTTTTTGTTATTTGCTTCTAGAGACAAGAATATCAAACTTTACTCTATTCAAGATCTGTATTCAAACTCTTGGTTTGTCTGCAGCTAAGCCCCAGTTTTTGCAGGTTTCTGTTCATGGTGTGAATTTTTTTTTCCCATTTTCTTCATCTGTCCTTTTTCCTGCGAGCTTTGTGGCAGCAGCCTTGCTGTTTCACCCAATTGTTCCAGTGGGTGTTGGACACTCTGAGGTTATTGCATCGTTTTTTTCTCTCATTTTTGAACCGTGGCTTGTGGAAGGTGCCAGCGGGATCCCGCTGCCAGCGGAGCGGGGAAGGCGCGGCACGGCGACCGCTGCTCCAGCGGGGATCACCGAATTCACAGCCCTACACAGAATCACTGTAACCCCTACCAAAGCCCCACTGCCTGATTAGCCCATGGGTGTTGTTGAGGGAATCATCTGAACCTCGGGAAGCGTGACTGTGGGACAGGAAAGGGAGCACCTGGATTTGCAAAGCCTTGGGATGCCCAGGGGTTGGAGCTGCACGTTCCTGGGGGGTCCTGCTGAGCTGTGCTTGGCCAACCAAGCCCAGGCATTTGGCCATTTTCTGCTCTTAGTATGGACATCTGTTGGATTTTATAGTTCTTCTCATCATCATTTTCTTTTTTTCTTGGTTTCTCTTACTGCTCCTGAAGATCTGGTCTCGTATTTAACGAAATGTTTTGCTCCCTACTCTCAGCAATCATTCTAAGCTATTTTTTCATCTTCAATCCCACCCATTCCCTTTATTTTGTCTCCTAAGTGCTCTCAAATTTGAGCACCGCTTTAACCACCATCTTTGGGGGGAAAGGAGAAAGGAACTGATTAAACAAGCAGCTCCCTTTCATCTCATCAGCCACGGTGCTGTTCCTGTGAGTGTGGAGACGTCCTGGGCACCCTCCTGATCCTCCTTCCCCAGCCTGAGGGCTCTGCTCGGGCAGCACCAGCCCACAGAGCTGAGCTTTCAGCTTTGAGGAGACCTTTCATTGGAACAATGTATTTCCAGGCCCTTTCAAATCCTGTCGAGGCTCAAAGGCAGCCCTGAGTCGCACCACCCACAGGGTTGAAAAAAAATCTCCTATAACTCCTCTTATCTGATTCCTTGGTTGCCTCAACTTCTTATCTTCTGGCCTGGCCTGCTGCTGCTTTTTTCCCTTTGTTCATTCTTGCTCTACTAAGAATGCTCCTCGGCTCATTTCTCTGACCCCGCTGACCCTTTTTAAGTCCTTGCACAGCCTGCCTTCCCCTTCCATGTCTTATCTGGGATTCTGGTCTCTGTTTAACACCTGTGTAGCAAATCTAGATCATCAGGTAAATGTTCAACGTGTTTCCTCAGCTCTGTGCTGTAGCAGTGGCTGTATCCAGGAGTAACAGGATGCTTTCTTCCTCTCCAGCCATTGCATGCAGAGGAAGGAATCCAGGTAAATCCAAGTGCTTCTGTTCACATTCTTTAAGATTTGTCATGTGCTTGTCAATTATTATGGAAGAAGTTCTTCCCTGTGAGGGTGGTAAGGCACAGAGAAGCTGTGGCTGCCCCTGGATCCCTGGCAGTGTCCAAGGCCAGGCTGGACAGGGTTTGAAGCAACCTGGGATAGTGGGAGGTGTCCCTGCCCACATCAGAGGGTGGAATGAGATTACTTTTAAGGTCCCTTCAAACCCAAACAATTCTATTTTTTCTGATTATTTAAGTCTTTTCCTGGTATCATGAGAACATGGGTGATGAACTAAGACTGTTTTTCCTTTCCTTTCTCTAAAATCCTTTCTTCTGCTTCAATTATTATTTTTTTTAATAAAGCAATCTGGGTTGGTTTAGCGTGTTATTTCTTCATCTTGCAAAATCTTCATAAGGCAACTAAGCAACCACCTTAAAAAGCTACAGGTGAAATGTGTGAACAAGGCTTTGTCAGAGAGAGAGAGAGAGCTTTTTCTCATCTTGGGAGTAAACTTTGCAGTATCAGAACACCTCTAATTAGAGGAGCTAATCACACCAACATACTTGTGATTTAAATTAATTCATATTAGGCATTCATTGTTAACAACTTGTTTGAGAGATTTGTTGCATCCATCTCCCCCACAAAAATATTCATTCTATTCACAAAAAGAGTAGAAGCCATGTTTCAGCAGATTGAAAGCAAGTAAAAATAATTGACATCCAGAATTGGTTACTTTGATGTGTGCAAGCAGTTAGAGGAGCTCTTCTGCAGATTGTCTCCCATACAGCTCTCTTGGATCAGACTGAAATACTTGTTGTCAAATTCCTGTCAAAAGAAACTAAGAGAAATAATCTTGTACAGAGCAATTGGAATGGAAAGGAAATGCAAAACCTTGACCAAACTTGAGTTCTTAACATGAGATGTGTTGTGCCTTCCAGTTTATCGTCACACCCTGGTGAGCAAGCAGATGCTCAAGAGCTTTTGGTTAATTTTTTGGGTTAGTGTCTGTGTTTGAGGATGTGACAGTGCTGAAAAGGCACAGCATCGCTTTTCATAGGCTTGGGAACACAGGGGATTGTGTGTACAAATCCCAAATGATGTATAAACCACGAGTAAAGCCTGTGAGAGGTAAGTTTCCTGACAAAACTGTCAGTTATTTAGAGATGCCCAAGTTCTCTGCTGAAATATACATTGGTGGTGTTTATAATTGGCACCTAACAGTAAAGGTTGCTGTCTGTATTTGTTTCTTTGTTTCCAGGAAGGGTTGCAAACCTAAATGCAGTATCAGTTTGGTGTGTTGTGATGTGGGTGTGTATGTAATATCTCAAGGCAGGCTGACATTTTACATTTTTTTATTGGATGCACTTTCATTGTGTTTCTCTGAAGAATGAAAATTGAGTCAAAATAAATGGTAAGAGTCTGCTAGGTACTCTTCTGTGTTTTTTCCAAATTTGCTTTTTTAGACTTTTCACACACTCTTCTTATTTATTGCCTGCTTATTATTTTTACTGGTACACTGTGGCCTACAAAACACTTGCTCTGTTCTAAAATAAATTTGTTCAGTTATTTTAATTGAGAGTTTTGTCAGATTAAAAAAAACCCCAAACAAGTTAATATGAGCATCGTGCTCCATTGTAGTGAGGAAAATTGCTTTATTATGTTAGAGAATGTACTCTAAATTTTAGCAGAATGTAGTGTTGTAACTAGTGATGTAAAACAGTGCTTTTAGTAGAGGGCTTTTGCAGTGCTTGAACAGTGGACTCATTTTTAACCTTGGATCCTTTCAGATCTCAGCCACAGTGGATTGGGAGACCATTATGAGAATTCCCACTGGGGACAGCAGCCCGCTTTCAGGAGTGAAGGCAACTGCAGCTGGGATAAAGTGATAATAGACAGGACTGACAAGGAAGCGTGGCCTTCCATTACCGGAGCTGAGACTGAGTCTGCCTCAGAATGTACTACAGACACTGACTCTGCCTCCAACTGTGGCTCAGAGAACAGTAGCATGGCTACAGGGAGTGCCCAAGGCAACTTCACTGGACATACAAAGAAAACTAATGGCAATAATGGCGCCAACGGAGCACTCGTCCAAAGCACTTCTAACCAGAGTGCCCTTGGAGCTGGTGGAGCCAACGGCAACGGCAGCTCGGCCAGGGTGTGGGGGGTGGCTGCAGGCTCCAGCTCTGGCCTAGCTCACTGCTCTGCCAGTGGTGGGGATGGAAAGATGGACAACATGATGGGAGACGGTAGAAGTCAGAACTGCTGGGGTGCTTCCAACTCGAATGCTGGCATTAATCTTAACCTTAACCCTAATGCCAATCCAGCTGCCTGGCCTGTACTTGGACATGAAGGAACTGTGGGAGCAGGCAACCCTTCCAGTATTTGCAGTCCAGTCAGTGCCATAGGTCAGAACATGGGCAACCAGAATGGGAACCCAACAGGCACCTTAGGTGCTTGGGGAAACTTGCTGCCGCAAGAGAGCACAGAACCACAAACGTCCACTTCTCAGAATGTGTCTTTCAGCGTACAACCTCAGAACCTTAACACTGATGGACCAAATAACACTAACCCCATGAACTCTTCACCAAACCCTATCAATGCAATGCAGACAAACGGACTGCCGAACTGGGGGATGGCCGTGGGCATGGGGGCCATCATCCCGCCCCACCTGCAAGGCCTTCCTGGTGCTAACGGAACAGCGGTTTCTCAAGTCAGCGGGGGCAGTGGTGAAGGAATGGGCAGTTCAGTATGGGGGATGTCCCCAGGTAATCCTGCCGCAGGAAACAGCAATTCTGGGTTCAGTCAGGGGAATGGAGACACTGTGAACTCAGCATTAAGTGCTAAACAAAACGGATCCAGCAGTGCTGTGCAAAAGGAAGGAAACGGAGCGAACGCGTGGGACTCGGGGCCTCCCTCTGGCCCCGGGGTCCTGGCTTGGGGCAGGGGCGGTGGCGGGGTTGGCAGTGTGCATTCTGGAGCCTGGGGCCACCCCAACCGCGGCGCCAGCAACGGTGTCAACGGGGAGTGGGGCAAGCCCCCAAACCAGCATTCCAATAGCGACATCAATGGGAAAGGATCAACAGGGTGGGATAGCTCGAGTGTTACCAGTCCGAATCCTGCCATGCAGCAGGGCAATGAACAAATGAACTCTTGGGCCAAAGCTGCGGCATCTGGCACCACGGCTAGTGAAGGAAGCAACGACAGTGGTGGGAGTCAAAATGAAGGCAGTACTGGGAGGGAGGGGGCTGGAGAGGGCAGGAGGAGAGACAAAGGGATGATAGACCAAGGGCAAGTTCAGTTGCCAAGAAATGACCTTGACCCCAGGGTCCTGTCCAACACGGGGTGGGGACAGACCCCTGTGAAGCAAAACACTGCCTGGGAATTTGAAGAGTCCCCAAGGTCTGAACGGAAGAATGACAATGGAACTGAGGCCTGGGGTTGTGCAGCTACTCAATCTTCAAACTCAGGGGGGAAGAACGATGGGTCCATCATGAACAGTACAAATACCTCTTCAGTATCTGGGTGGGTCAACTCTCCACCGGCAGCTGTTCCAACAAATACAGGTTGGGGAGACAATAACAACAAAGCACCAAATGGCCCAGGGGGGTGGGGAGAGTCAGCAAGCTCTACTACTGTTAATAATGCTGCTGCTGCCAAAAGCGGCCACACTTGGAGTGGGACCGCAAATCAGGAGGACAAGTCACCTACCTGGGGTGAACCTCAGAAACCCAAATCTCAAAACTGGGGAGATGGACAGAAATCAAATCCAAGCTGGACTTCAGGAGGTGGAGACTGGACAGATTCATCGTCTGTTCCTGGACACTTGGGTGATGGGAAGAAGAATGGATCTGGATGGGATTCTGACAATAGATCGGGGTCTGGCTGGAATGATTCCACAAAGTCTGGGACCAGTGGGTGGGGGAATGGCACAAACAGCAAGGCTAATACAGGTACAAGTTGGGGGGAATCTTTAAAGCCAGGCCCCCAACAAAATTGGGCTAATAAACCCCAGGACAACAATGTGAGTAACTGGGGAGGAGCTGCTTCTGTAAAACAGACGGGGTCAGGGTGGGTTGGTGGGCCAGTGCCAGCCAAACAAAAAGAGAACTGTGAGGCAACTGGCTGGGAAGAGCCATCTCCACCGTCCATTCGCCGCAAGATGGAAATCGATGATGGTACCTCAGCTTGGGGCGACCCAAATTACAACAACAACAAGACTGTAAACATGTGGGATAGAAATAATCCTATAATTCAGAGCAGTACCACAACCAACACCACCACCACTAGCACCATTATCAACACCAACATGGTTGAACCTCAGCCATCGCACCAGTCAAGTGCCCAGCCGAACCGGTCCCCGCTGCTTGGCCCAGGTATGGCAACAGTTTTGTGAAATATTTCATAAAACAGCTTTAAGAGATACTTTATACCAGTACTAGTTGCTGAATGCTGTCTGTCCTGTTGGTGTGTTGGGTAGAAATCCTGTGTTTATGTCCAGAGTATGATTGTTCCTTTATTCTGAAACTGTCTTGTCTTGAGGACAGAATCCATGGAACCTGACACAAATTTCCATAATCTAAATGAATGTAAGAAAGGCTTGAAACAATATTTGGTCAACAGCGTGGTAGGTTGTGGATCCATGTTCATTTTAACATCTCTTCCACAGTTATTTAACACCTTTTAATTCAGCCATTTGAGAGGCTGGGGGATTTTGGCAACCCTTTCTTCTGTTATTTGCCTGCTGTCCCCACTGCGCAGGCTCGGTGTGTTTAGACAGCCTGCATCTGTTTCTTTTCTGCAAAACATCTCTTGGCAACAGATGTTGGTTAACAATTGCATGAATTTAGGCTGCTGCTGTTTCTCTGTCCAGCTTGTTGTCTTTTATGAAGAAATGGTTCCCTTCTCAGGGGTCGGGCACAGGCAGCATCCCGGATTTTGTGTGGTTCTCAAAAAGCAGGACTGATTCAAGGTGTTAATATTCAGGGTTTCCTGTGTTTCAAAGACAAAGTTTAGGTATTTAGGAATTTTTCTAATCAAAAGCAAGGTGCTGTTGTAGACAAGCAGCAAGGAATAAAAATGCATTAAAAATGGGGAAAATGCTTAAAAGAGAGGTATTTAAATAACAGTTACACTAGCAGCCCATATCTATATCATGACCACAGACCTCTCCAAAATAAATCTAATCATGCAGTACTCTTTCAAATTCTACACCTGAGTTTTGTTTCCAAGTTTTTGTTTCATCGTGGTCATGGCTAAGTACTGACTTTTTAACCACGTTTTTCTCCAAGTGGGATTTGTTCTCTCATTCCCATCCTTTTTCTCTTTGATGTTTTGGAATGTTTCAAATTTGCTTTAATGTCTGTATAAAAATAGTCTTACGTTTCCCACTCTGGTCAAGTATGTTAACAGTAGAGGGTACCTGTTTTAATGAAATAACGTGCTCCAGAAGGAGAAGTCTTTAAATGCCTTTGTACTTGGTCAGCCAACATATGTGACTAGCTTATTTAATCCATATTTAGAACTTTACCCATGAAACATGAATTCAGATTCCTGAATTGTAATGGAAGTATCATGAAAGTGGATTTTTCCTTGGGTTTGAGTGAGGTTTTGTTTTTCATTAAGGTGATTTTTGGAGGATTACATTGGTGCTTGTGAAACTGTTCATACACAGCAATGCATTGTTAATGTTATTCAAGTAATTAACACCTTATAGAGGAAAACTTAACGGTCCTGAGCCCTCAGATTTTGAAAATGGAATTTAAAAGCTGGTGTTAATCTGCAGTGATTCCTTTGGAGCATGAACAGCAGCAAAGGAAGGGTTTCTTTGAAGCAGTATGTTTACATATTCAGAAACTGCCTATGAACAAGTAACCAACCCTGACCAGGTTCAAGTGAGTGTTGGGCTTCTTGAAAAATGTGAGCTAGAAAGATTCTAAGATCTTTTAAGATAAGCAAACCTTTTATCTTCTTTTTTTTTTTTTTAAAGTTTTCCAAGGTAAGCAAAGCCAGCTCTCAGAATATATTTAAGTCAGCATGCAAGAAAGTACAAAATGGGTAATAGTGAAGACAATTTAAAATATGGTTCTGATATTAAAATTTAGATCAGGTTGTAGCAGGCATAAATTAAACCTTATACATGGTATAGTACAGCAATTCTGGGTATAGTGCAAGTATAAAGGTATATTACCAACTCTTGGTATAGTACAAGTATAAAGGTCAAACATGGAGATATTTGGACGGATTTTTGTCTGAATGGAAGCGAGGAGCAGTCTTGAGCTCTGCTGTGTTTGCTTGTGGCTGTGCCAGAGGAGGAAGAGCAGCAGTGCAGCTCCAAGGGATGGATCCCCGTGGCTTCCCTGCGTGCAGGAGTGCAGGAGGGCCCCTTTTCCCAGGGCAGGCAGCACATGGCAGCTGCACAGCAGCATCCTCGTGCTCTGGGTGGAAATGTACACAGACCTGAAACATCCACAAATCATCCCCCGTCTGGGACAGCCAAAACATGGGAAGCAAGTGGTGAATGTCTTGCCTCCCACGCAGACAGGGCCCTGCACTTTGGAGTTGTGCTGTTTAACTCTTTTTCCTACTCCAATTCCCTCTCCACTTTGCTGTGCATTTCCAGCCTCAGCAGAGAATCTTGTCACCAGGAGACTTTCTGCAGTCCACAACCAAAGTTCATCCAGCAGCAGTTCTTTTCCATGCAAAACATGATTGTGTCATTAATTAGAGCCTGTGCCACAGGGCACAGTTAAGTGCTCATCTAAAATCCTGCAACTCTTGAACTCTGTAGTTACCGTGGGCATTTTGTCACCTGCGTGGGTCATGACGTGTTCTGCCAGTCACTTTCAGGGAATATAATGAATTAGGAATCATGGATTCCATTCCTGTGTAACTAAGGAGGAGTGGTGCAGATGGAAGTTGTCACAGTCATATGTCCTGCAGGCAAAGAAGTGGATTTTAATTTTGCTGCACAGCCCTAGTTAGGAGTTCACAAAGGATTAACAGTTCCTTTTGGGGTTGAAGTGTATGCTTTATTAGTTTGGAAATAGAGGCCAAGTTACAGTCTTGTTATTCAAGTTGTCACCCATCCCCAGAAGTTCTCCAGATCCTTTGAAGGCAGAACTTAAAAGCCATTGATGGGAAGCAGATGTTGGTAAACACTTGGTGAAAATGAAGAATGCTCTAAGGAGTTTCATTTTCCATTGGAAAAGAAGAGGAAAAAAAGAGAGGGGAAAGAGATAGATAATGTGATAGTCCTTGCTGGTTCTAGGAGCTTGTTCTCAAGGCACTGGTGAATTACTTAGAAAAAGGATCAGAAAGCTGGTGGGTTTGAGTTAGATTGGGGTTTAATCTAAATTACTTGTGCATAATTCTTCCTAGCATTTCTAACTCATGCAGCTTTGGTATGAGGGGAATAAGAAGTGAGAAAAGGTTTTGCAAACAGAAATGATTTAATGAGATTTTTGGATCACAGACAGCATCAGATCCTCCCTCCAAGTGCTGAGGAGTGGGCTTGATGCTTTCCTGCTCATTACATCAGGAGAGCCTGGCAGGGTTCCAGCATCCTCCAGCTGAGGAAAGGAGCAACAGAAGATAACACAGGCTTCCCTGTGGGGATTGTAGGTCACAAATTAAAGTCTTTGTGGTTACTAGAGAGTGAGGAGCTTAAGTTTTAAAAACCTGAACTGGATCTAAGTTCTGAAAGCTCCAAACGTCTCTGTTCCTTTTATAATCCTGTGCCTCTAAGTGGCAGCTCACATGGCAGTGTTTTTCTTACTTTGAACTTCCATCAGAATGGATTTGAAAGCAGCTCAGCTTTGGGCTCCTTTAGGGTGCTCATGTGAAAACCTAAAACCCTCTGGTGGGTGCTCAGCCCATGAATAGCCAGATTTTGGGGGGCAGCCAAGTGATGCTGAGAGAGCTGCCCTCGATTTTCACACAAGGGTGATGTCACTTCTGAAACCCAAATTAGAGCTTTCTGAATGCTCAGTGTTGAACTGGAATCCCTGTCAGAAAATGAGAATTTGAGTGATTAAAGATTGTAGGTAGCTCTTAAATGTGTATATAAAACCCAGAATAACTAGTGTGTAATTAGTGAACAACCTCTTTTCTGCCTAATATCTTATTTTTTAAATGTATATAAGGTTCTAATATTTTGGTTTGCCTGTGTTGTGCTCATGTGCTTTGGTGTTTATCACGGACCAACAACTTGAAGGAAAACAATTTCTGCCATCCAAATAGCTATAGGGTTATTTTGAGGGAAAACAACTGCATCCTGCCACAGCTTAGTTAACATTTCACTTTCCCTTGAGGATTTCCTGTTGGCTGTGGCCCAATGTTAATTATGTTTTTATTTCTATAAAACAAAGCTCTGCCAATGTGTCCATGTTTATTACTTACTGTGATCTTTTCATTTCTTGCAATTCTAACAATGTTTAAAAACTTCAGTACTAAAACCTCACTTTCTTGCCAAAGAAGCCTTTAAATGGAGCACGTTCTGTTGCCAAACAACATTTCTGCAGAGCTGGGGGTTTTAAGGAGCTTTTTACCAGCAGAGCCTAAATCTGTATCATTCTCATCAGAAAATAGGAAGTTTTCTCCAAGCAGAACTTTTGAAAACGTTTGGCAGGTTCAGGTTTTGAGACTACTCAGAGGTCTTGGTTTGCCTTCCCAACCGCCACGGGGAGTTTTGCACCATTCATTCAAAAATGTAACTTTATTCCTTTTTAAACTTCCTAAAACAGAATCATTTGGAGTCAAAGGAACATAGCACAGAGACAGTAGCATTGGGACAGGAGTATTTACACAGAGGGGAAACAGGTTTGCAATGGAGAAATGCTCCAGAATTTACAGACAGTGTAGTTTTTGCAGTGCACAGGTTATTTTTCCAGCAGCCTTCAGGTTTTATTTACTAATTTCCTGCACTTAATTGTATCTGTTAAGATAGTTTGGAAAACTTGTTGTAGATTAATTTTGTTTGCTTTTATGTACTTGTACTATTTTCTGTTACTAAAGGCTGGTTCCCCCATTATTTGTAATCCCATATTATTTCCTGCTCAGTGCATTTAAAAGCACTTAAAATAATTTGGACATGACACATCTGTGGCCTTTAGTTGGAGTTGTTGAATTTCTAAGAGCAACAGAGGAACTAGTTTTTTTTGAGGTTTTTACTCTACAGCGCAGCACACTTCAGCTTTTTTAAATGTATAAATTGTGTTTTAAGGATGATTTCATGAATTGAATTAGGTAGAGTTTCCAGTAGAGGTTGCATGAAGCCAGGGAGATGTTAATACTCTGCGCTGTCCCTGTTTGCAGTCTGGGTGGTGTTGTGGAGATGTTTTGTTTTCTGTTTCATTTGCCTGCAGTTAATCTTTTTCAGCTGCCAGTGTGATTTAATACACGCAGTTGTCTGCCAGTTGCCTCCTGAGTAGTGAGGCAGAAACTCAAATAAAGCCTCCCTTAAATAAAGCTGGCTAGAAAATACGAGCAGGAACCTTGAATTAAGCATTTGAGGTGCAACACCAAGGAAGCTGTCATGTTAAGTACAGGTTCATTTAGGTACATCTGTGGATCTGCCAGTTTATCTTCTTTACACACCTTAAAATAACCAGAATTGTAAGGTACGTTGATCGAGCCTAAACCGTGGTATTTTTGTTTCAAATGGAAATAACTTGAATAAAAGAGTGACATTTTGGGTTGTTTCAGGAGCTTGCTTTAAATTCAGTGCCTTTTGCTGGCAGAGAAGGAGTTTTCTGAAGCTGCAATGCATGAGTGGAGAGTTTGACACTCACTGTGCCATCTGCACTTGCATCAGTGTCTGAGAGAGCTGCACTGGCTGTAAGGAATAGAGCCCAAAATAAATATATAGTGCAGGAACAGAGGAGCAATGCACGGCTCTGGGCCCATCTGTTTGATTGTTTTCTCTGCCAGACAATTTTTGGAATTGTTATTGGCAATGGATGCTGCTGCAGGTTCAGGATAGGGGAATTCTGTGGAATTCAGTGAGTTCTGCAAGGACTTGTTGCTCAGATAACCACTATTGTTTGGTTATTCCAGTGTATTTCAAGGTATTCTTAGGCACTCCCTTGCCATTGCCTACCTATTCTGGGTGTTAATTTGTGGAGAAAATATTGCACCTGCTTTTTGAAACCTTTCCAGAGTATTTTTACAGATACCATTGTGGAGCAAAAAAAGGAAATAATGTTGTTGCAAAGCAGCATCTGATCATTCACTTACAAAATATTCATCTTAATAACATTAATCTCCAATTAAAAGAGAACAAATTCCTGATTTAGCAGCCTAATTACCAGTGGAAGTTTTAAGCAGACTGAATTCTACAATATTTGTGAAGATTTCAGCTGTCATGTAATGGGATGTAATTTTTTTTTACAATTGTAGAAAAATAGGTTAGTGTCAGGTGTCTGTAAGAAATTTGTTTTCTTGCTTTTTGTGCCTCTCTTTGTGCTTGTTTACAAAGTACCTTGAACTCCATCTGTGATCCAGGTCCTCTCTCCAGAAAATCTCTGGTAACAATGGCTGTGAATTCAGTTTACCCTTGTGCTGTGTTGGTCAGGTTGCTCTGTAGGCTCAGGAGCCCTTTGGCTGTTGCTGCCACGTTCAGCTGCAGGGCTGAAATCCTGTCAGGTGGATTTAAGAGCATTACATTCAAGCCCAGGCTGTTTCTTTGGAGTAGCTTACGTCTTCCAGTGAGTTCATGTAATACTCTGTAGGAAAACAATGGCTTCCACCTGCCATTCCCCGTGGAGTGATTACGGATCCTAATTGAAGTCTTGATTAATTCCCCTTAAAATAATATTTATTATAATGTAGAGGGTCAGTGATGAAGGATAGGTAGGTAGCTATGAGCTGTAATGAAAGCTTCAAGGAATACATTCAGCACAGATAATCTTCACTCAAAGTGGGAACAATCAAATTGCATCTTACTGCCAGGGCATGAGAAAAGAGATTTTATAGTTTGTAAACAGTGAAAAGGAATTAACAGTGTTTAAGATCTTTCAGTGAATCAAGGCCCAACTCAGACTGGGGTCCTGGTCTTTGGAATCCTGGCCCTGGGCAGCTGTTCCTTGGTGCTCACTCGGCAGCCTGGTTGCTCCTGGCTGTGGAAAAGAACCCTCTTTCTGTATTGACAACTTGACATTAGCATAAAATTAAGAAAAAACTCTTAAAACCAAATTTAAGGGATTTTTTTAAACACACTTAACTACAATCACTGTATGTACTTACCGGCTCATGCTCTTTCCAGAGAAACTCATGAGCAAAATTTAAAGTTTTTTGGAATTATTTGATAAAGAAACCTTTCCTCTCATCACTGTTCTCCTCGCCTTGCTCCAGCAGGCTGGGGAGAGATGCCTGCTGTCCACACCAAGAGCGAAGCTTCCTGGGGAGAGCCCTCCTCCCCTTCTGCTGCAGTTGACAATGGCACTTCGGCGTGGGGGAAGCCCCCCAGCAGTGGGACCGGGTGGGGAGAGAATCCTGCCGAGCCAGCAGGGACCTATGGAAGAACAAACGCTCCAGCTGCTGCCCCAGCACTGTGCAAACCAGGTACACACAGGGCTGCCGCTGTCCTGGCAGGGGAGGGGGTTTGCTTCTGCCACTTCTTCTTTTCTGTGTGTTTCAGTCCCAGGAGTTAGCTTCTGCCACTTCTGCTTTCTCTGCATTTCAGTCACAGGCGGCCTTCGTGGTTTCATTCTCAAAACTATGTTAGCTGTCACAAGGCCACGCTAATCCAAACACCAAGTTAATTCAAAAATATGAATATAGGGCATCCATGTGGAAATTTAAAGGAGAGTAGTTTTGTGTGTTTGGAAAGCAGCATAGCAGAGGTGCAGGAAACTGTGAAACTGCAGAAGAACGTGACTAGGACTTAAACCCTTGGTGTCTGAAAGAAACCTGTATTGGGATGAGAAGCAGTGGAGAACAGTCAAGATAGAACTGATTCTGGTAGGAAAAGCAACACCTGAGAACCACTAACCATAACAACCTCATGTTGGGTTAAACTGGGTGAATGGGTGTTTTCTTCAGATGTTAAAACTGTTGCCAGGTTCAGGAACATCCTGAACTATTTCCTGCTTCGTGATTCCTAACTCGTGGTATTTAATAAATATCCTCCACCTCTGAATGTCCTGAGGGCCACTGTGATTGCTTTAGACTCTCCTCTTGGCTGTGGAGGTTGCCTAGAGATTCACTCCTGCAAAATGCCATAGTGAGACGTAGTTAGAAGTCCCAGAAAACATAAAAGGGGGAGTGAGAGCTCCTAAGATGAGTAATCCCAGCTTTAAAGAGAGTAAACAGAATAAAATGGACTGAGGTGACACAGCCTTGTCACTGAATATGAAGCGTTCCCTGCAGCCCACAAGCTCCTTTCAGATTCCATTCTTCAAGATGCGAATGAGTGTCTGAGCGTTAATGACTTGGAAATTTGGTTTGTTCATGGAAGAATGTGGTAGGTAAAATGGTGAGATTCATTGAAAACAAAATAGCACTTAACAAATGTGTGCTCATATTTTGGTTCCTTGTTCCTGGGGGAGTAAAGTGGCCATGACCACAGATCTTACTGGTTCTAGGAAAGGCAGGACTTGCAGTTGCGGGATGTTTTCTTCTCTTGAGTATTTAGAGAACTCCCTTTTTTTTACTAGCTTCAAAGAAGACATTCTTATCATTTTACTGCCAATTAAGCTATTTGATGAACATCTTTATCTCTTGAAAATACTTACATTAGCACACCTGGATATGGCACAAAAGGCTATTTCTGTAAAATTTGCAGGAAACTGAATAAGATTTTTCTTCTCCCACTTTCCCTCCAGCTTCAAAATCTATGCAAGAAGGCTGGGGCAGTGGTGGGGATGATGTGAATCTCAGTACTAGTCAGTGGGAAGATGAAGAAGGAGATATGTGGAATAATACTGCTTCACAAGAGAGCAGCTCCTCCTGTAATTCCTGGGGGAATGCCCCGAAGAAAGGACTTCAAAAGGTAAGACAAAAACAAAGACACTCTCCAGCAAGAGTGGAATTAATGTAACATTTGTAGAATAAGTTGTCACAAATTTGCTGGTGCATTATACCTGAAATTAAACCTCTGACACCTGAACACAAGCACAGCTTGCCACTACAGTGGTTCAAGTACAGCCTACCTTGTTTCCAGGGGAAAACGGGAGATCTTTGAATTTAGGCATGTCAGATGCTTTGAGAGTTCTGTTGTTGTTGCCTTTGTTTTCTCTAAGTTTTATAAGCGTCCATGTATTCTAAAGAAATGATAATGTATTAACAGAAAGAGGAGAAGGTGTTAAGGGGGCTTTCAGACACTTCCCATGGTGGTGGAAAAGCAAACAGTAGTTTGTGATGGAGTTGTTTAACACAAAAAGCTGTTTTCTGTTTGTGAGGACGGTGTGTGTGTGTGTGAGAACAAAGCAAACTTGTGTTAATGCTGCACTCAACCGAGAACGTAGACAATTGTGTGAGGAAATTTTCCATTGCACAGTCTTTATTTCAGGACAAGGCCAGGCTGTAACTTAAAGGAATTGGGAATGCATTTAGCCACTTTGTTTGTTAATCCATTAGCCAAGAGTTAGGCCGGTGATTTGATCAAGTATGGTTGTTTCTTGTACTGTCCGCAGCCCAAAACAAATCCGCGCTTGTCCCTTGGTACTTTCTGGAGAACTGAAAAGAAGAGACTTCTTAAGGATATTGTGATAGAAAAGCTGCACAAAGATCTTTTAAAGGTGTTTATCTAGACGCTCTTGTTTGTTTTTAAGAAAATACACTGAGTAACATTCTTAACTTCAAGGTTGCAAACTTGTTTTTGGGAATGTTTTTCAGGAAGTGTTGTACTATTTCAGCTTTATTTCGTTATATTTTTCTGCCAAGGATTAAAATGAAATACGTAAATTCAAAGGTGGCTTTAATTCAGTGGCCAGCAAATCAAATACTAAATAGTACACTGAGCACCTATTCAGCTGAGATAAATTTTTACACTTTTGGGGGAAGAGAATCGTAGTCGCGTTGCTCGGAGGGTTCTTCAATACTTTCTGAATTAATGTACTAATACATCTTTCAGTAGCATGTGCTATTAATAAAAACCACTTACCATTTCTTTTATGTACATCTCACTACAATGAACGTGGCAGCCAGCCCATTAATGGAATCTCCCATTTATTTACTAAGGGCATGAAGACATCTAGCAAGCAGGATGAGGCCTGGATCATGAACCGTCTGATAAAACAGCTCACAGACATGGGCTTCCCTGTGAGTAGTGCTCAGCCAGCACACTGTGCCTTAGCTTTTAGCTTGTACTTCTGACTGTGGCTGTTTCAGACTGTAGCTACACCAAGATCTTCAGTCCCCAGGCCAGCAAGTAGCCCCGATGTGCATTTAAACACATATTGTGATTTCAGAAATCTGTTGTAAACCTATTCCATGCTCTGAGATGAACTGGGAATATTCTTTCCATGAGGGCATTTATATATTTTGAAGTCCTATTTTTATAACAACAGGTATTACTTTGAACTGCAGTAATCACCTCCCATTCCTCTTTTTTCATTAAACAGGTAAAATGAGAGTATAGCCTGGTTGTTTCGTAGAGAAAGTCATATCATTGTGATATTTGAATTGTTCATGGAAAACAGGAAGATGTTTAAACAGAACAATGTGTGTCACCTTGTAGAGCCAGTACTTCCTTGACAAACTGAAATACCTGAATTGTGAGAATTGCTGAAAGCAGAAAAAAACCACACACAGACATTATTTAGGCTGCTGAGTAAACATTAAGCCCAGTATTTAAGAGATGTGTCTGTTTTCTCAGGTTACTTTGAAATCACATGAATGTGATTACTTTTCCTCTTAACATAAATTCCTGTTTTTGACAGAGAGAGCCAGCGGAAGAGGCCTTGAAGAGCAACAGTATGAATCTTGATCAGGCCATGAGTAAGTATCTGTGTAAGTAACTTTTTTTGTCTTTAAATCAACACAGGAACCCTGCATGATTATAAGCATTTGATTATACTCAGACCAATTGGATAATATTTATTTTCTTGCCTTGCTTTTGTAAGCAAGATGAATTTCTCTGAACTGCTGTTGGCAACTTTACTCCCCTCTGCCTCACCTTTTCCAATATATTTCCCTTTTCTGTGCAGGTGCTCTGCTGGAAAAGAAGGTGGAAATGGACAAGCGTGGAATGGGAGTGACCGACTATAATGGAATGGTCACCAAACCCCTTGGCTGCCGCCCACCACCAATCTCCAAAGAGTCTTCCATGGACCGCCCCACCTTCCTTGACAAGGTGAGTTCAGCAGCAGGAACAAGTCAGAGTGTGCACAGTGTAGAAATGCTGCTGATTTTCACTGCTTAGAAAGTGTAGGAAGAAATACGATGGATGTGGCTTTGTTCCTTTTCTTGCATTTTTTCAGTCTTGTGGGGGATTCAGTCCTTGTGGAAAGGAGCAGTGGTTTGATTTTCACATAGAAGTAAAGAATGATCATCCCCAGTTTTACACCTGAAAACTTGCTAAGGAATCAGTAACACAGAGGAACTAGAAATGGGAAAAAAAGAGAAAAAAATTAACCACAGCACTCTGTGAGAGTGCAGTCAGTGACCCTTGCCCACATTCACAATCAGGCAGGACCAAGGCCAGAATCTTCCAAGAATTAGGCTCTTAATTTCTCTTCTTTTAGTTTTCAGCTTCTTAACAAATTTCAGTGAAAGTTCAGTACCTAAACACGAAGGAGGAGTTCAGGTATTTTTGTTAAGTCTCAGAGCAGACATGCAGAGCCATAAATACCTTCTCCAATGAGCTTCCCTTTCTGTGATCACATATGACAAATTTTCCAGCACTATTTAATAACTGAGGAAAAGTCAGAAGTTTGTGTTGTCCAGGATTCAAAGTTACTAAAGAAAAGAATACATGGAAAAGTGCAGCCAAATCTTCAGTAGGAAATGAGATTTACAGCCTTGACAGAAAATCCTGCAGAAACTTACCAAATCACCTAAGAATCCTCCTGAAAATGATTGATAATTAAAGAAGAATCTCAGATGTCATTCTGCATTTCACAGGTTATTGAAAGGTTCATACAGATGGGTGCTGGAGGATTCTGACCACAGAAATCAGTGCTTTTGACAAACTGTGCTGAAAGCAATTCATTTCACATGAGCTGTGTACAGGGTGTGAGGCAGTAATGAAATCCACTCATATAAAGCTCATTCTTTGCCATGGCAGACTTTAATGAATGTGTTAATTGAAGGCCACAAAAGATGCATGCATGCCAGTTAGCCTTTCCTTTTCTTGGATAACAATATCTTCAGCAGTAAAATTCTTGCCAGAGAGAGGTGCATTATGTGCAGCATGATGCATAATTCTGGAAACATATGTTAAACACAACTATTGAGAAGGGAGTACTAAAATCATTAATATTCATACAGTAAGTAAAATCTATCAGTCTAGGCATAATCTGTCACAGTGACTTGGCTCTAACAAAGGAAATAATCCCACACTGTATTTGTTAGCTATCACAGTGTTGAGCAACTTGCTAAGTGAATTAAATAAATATAGTTTCTACTCTAAGAACACAGAGTTTTTATTCCTCCAAAGAAATTCTTTCCAGATTTACAGCTCATGCTAGTTAAGCAATTCCTCCAAAACCTTTTTGCCCTTTGAGGTACTGTTTCAGGGCCTGAGTCTGGAGCTGTCTTGTTTCTCCTTAGGTCATCCTTGGTGAGGAGCAAGCTCTCCACACAGCTTTCCTTGTTTTACTTACTGCTTTATCAACTCATCATCCTTTTGTTGGCTTTTCTAAAGCTTCAGTAAGTTCTGCAAGGTTCCTCTTCATCATGTTGTAGTTTGGGGTGGTGTCTCCTTGTTGCCACTCTCAGCTCACCTGAATTGAGACACCATCATTTTTCTCTAAACAGCTAAAGCCAGCACTTAATATTTTTTTAACTTTATACATTTGAGGAGGGAAAATTTCCAATCCTGACATTTGCTTCTGGACCCAGTGAACTCCCTGTTCTCTCTGCATCAGGAGTGGTCTGGCAATTCAGCATCACCTTTGAGTGTTTGCTTTCTCTGCTTGCTGCAGGTGCTCTTTATTCCTTGTCACACCAAGTCAATCTTCAGCACTCGGTGCTTTGTTAATTTATTATTTCTCAGGATGTTATCTTGACCTGTAGTACCATAAAAGGACAAGGGAGAATATCCAGTGGCCTTGAGGGAATAAAGATGCAGCCCTGATACGTGATCTCAACCACATTATGTCACACTTGGTGGCAGGCGTGCTGTGCTTAGGTGTCAGGTTTGTATGAAGATGTTACCTGGTGCCTTCTGGAGCCATCAGATTTGTAAGAAAAACATGTCATATTTTCCTGGAAAAATCCTTAAAATACCAGAAATAAGCCTAGAGAATGTATCTTTTTTCCCAAGTATAGAGTTTGACTTGGGACTCTCAAATTCTCACCTTGCAAATGAAGTGTCCTTTCCTCTTACCCTCATAGTCAGTGATCAGCTCCTTTTCTCTACTGCTGCAAAATCCAGGTCTACAAGCCTTGATGCTTCTTGGCTGCAATCCTGTTCTTCCAAAAATCTTCTGACTAGACCTGTTCCTTGTTTCTGATTTGAACATAGTGTTTGTTGGGTTTTTTTTCGGCCTCATCCTTCACATTCTGAGCCCAGTAATCTCTGGGGATTGTGATTGGTTTTCATCTTTGGGACAATAAGCAGAATATTGTGTTAATATGGAGAAACTTTTTCAGATGTCACAATTAGATAATGATCACTAGGATTTTAAAGTTTTCTTTTAAATTCTACTTTGCTCTATCTCTGCCACCTGTGATCCAGTGACTGAAACCATGTTCATCACCCTTGTATGATGAGCACTTCTTTGAGTATTGCATTTCCTCCAGGTTTCTTTTGCCTAATTCCTGTTTGATTTGAAGATAACTTTATTTTAGATGAGATTTTATTACTTTAACTTCCTCTTTTAAGAAAGGATTTTTTTTCAATCTTTTTTTAAAGAATTCAATGTGTATTTTCTGACAGCTACTTCTGTAACTGACTTTACACAAAGACCTCTGGCAGATTCATCAGCCTCTCATCTGCCTGTTGAGACATTTTGTTTCATGAAGTGGCAGTTGTTGGCAGGTGACTGCCAAGTGTCCAGGCATCCTCTGCTAAATTGTCCATATCTCATAGGACTAAAAACCTTTGAGTAATTCCACTTGCATTCTGTCACATTTGATGTGTGAGACTGTTGTGAGGGACTTCCCAAAATTCTAAAAAACACCAGTGTGGTACTTTGTGTTAGATAACTGAAACACTGGTAGCAGTATGATTTTATGGGTGTGTCAAATCCCTTCAAAAAAGTTAAAAGCAGTGCTGGATTGAGCATTAATGTGATGATTCAATTTTTAATTGAGTAGCCTGAGGAAGAAGTGTAACATAAATTTGTAAGAAAATCACTGAAGAGGACAGGTTAGGTAGAAAAGATTGTTCTTCAGGAAACAATTATTACATAAAGGATCCTGAGAAATAATGGGTCAGAAACCACTGTGAGCAGTAAAATTGTCCTCTAGTCTGGCTTGAAAATGCTAAAGGGTGCTTTAATTTGACCAACTAAAATACTTGATGTTAAATGAATTGATTTTAGTTCAGTTATAAAGCACAGATTCGTGCAGCACAGTGCAACAAGTTCAAATTAAATAAAATAGAACCAGGTCAATTTGAATAAAATGTTATAAACTCACACAAAGCCATTTGCTGCAATTCAGCCAAGGAACACACTTGTGAAGGAGTCTGGAAATGAAATTCCTGAGTCTCCAGTGTGGCTTGTCCTTCACCATCCTTGGCACTGCCTATTTCCAAATTGAGAAAAAATAATGTCAGTAAGGCAAGACTTGAATAAATTTGGGGGGTAGGGAGGGTTTTTCATGGTCAGTAGGTCTGTTCACATAGGGAACAATGGCATCGGAAGGGGAGAGCGAGCACCAAGCTTGAAATTATTTTCACTTTGAAGGGGGAAGGGTAGAATTGTAAACATGTGTCTGTGATCTAAAGTGAAATCCTTGAACCTGTTACTGTCATGCAAGCTGCAGTTGTTTGTGGAGTGTGACTGATGTCCAGTAGAATGTAAAATATCTCAAGCTGAAAGGCCTTGGGGATATCATTAGAAAATGTCAGTGTCCCCCTCAGGATAGTCAGATAGGATGTCAAGTGTCACTTTGCCTGGTAGTAAAGAAACTTTTCCTTTGCATCAAAGGAGAACTGTAGAAAATGCATTTTTCAGGATTAACGTAAAACATATAATTCACTGAGCATGCTTGCTGCATTAGGTCATCTGTTTGGGTGTGTGGTAAGCAGACTGGGCTTCTTTTTCAACAAAAAGGGTTCACCAGTATCTCACAGTCTTCTGGAGCATTGAATTTATTGGTTGAAATAAAGCTCCTCACCTCTTTAAAAAGCCTTTCCTTACAATGATCATACTGCCTGAAAAACACCAACCCAGCACATTGCAAATTAAAGCTTTTTCTCTCTGCCTGCTTTTTTGGAGCCCTACTTTGTACACAGTGTTATTTGATCATGCTTACCCCAGGCTTCCCAGACATCAAAGCACAGTTTGAGCTAGAACTCAGTGCCCTACTGAAACACGAGCAGAGATCTACCTGTTTGATTGGGGGTTCTCTAATTTATTTTATTTTCTGCCTTGCTGTTTGCCCCCCGTGGGGGCTGCCTCCTGTGCATCATATCCCCGCTCAGCTTGGTTCCTCACAGCCCAGTTAGCAGAGAGGGCTCCTCCTGCCTTGCTAAAATCTGCCTCCTCCTGGGGATGTTCAGGAAGGCTGCCCAGCTGATATTGTCATTACTGGGTTTGATGGTTTGTGTTCACTGGCTGCCTTGCAGTGTGATGTTTCAGAGTGGGGTATTAATAACTCAGCGCTATGTGAATATTAAAAGAGGCTCATGTGTCTCACTTAGGAAAGGGGATTCATGCAAAAATGTGTTTTTAAGAGCAGAGCTATGATGTGGAACCAAATCCAGACTGGTGTGAAACAAGCTGATGTGGCCTTTCCCAAGTTTTGGGTTTGTTAAAGTGCTGGGTTATGTCTGGAGTTTTCCAGACAGACAGAGGGCTTCCCTGAAATCTGCTGGGCCTCTCCCCTTCCACCTTTTAGTCTGGTGGAGAAGAAAGGAGAAAACCTAAGTGGGGAGGAGGCAATGGCCACATGATAGCTCTGCAATCAGCTACTAAAATCCTTCCTTTCCTCTGGAAAGCTGGGTGAGGGTGATTGTGCATTTGGGGAATTAAGTACAACAAAGTTACCAAAGCCAGTACCTTAATCCTGTTTCTCTTTTTCTTCTCCCTTCACTCCATGCTTTCCATTTCCTGTTACTCATCTCTTTTTTTATCTATCTCTTTTTACTCATCCACACCCTTCTCTGTCTCCATGGGACTCTGGTTTGTGCTGTGGGCTCCTGGCACCGCACACAGCTCACCCTTTCTTTCTCCAATCAGGATGGCGGCCTAGTGGAAGAGCCCACTACTTCACCATTTTTGCCTTCACCAAGCCTGAAGCTCCCCCTTTCAAACAGTGCACTCCCTAATCAGACCCTGGGCGGGATTGCCTCAGGGCTGGGCATGCAAAACTTGAATTCTTCTAGACAGGTAAGGCTGTTGGGGGAGATGCTGAGGGGAATTTGGCTCTCTTGGAGTAGCTGCTAGTGCCTGTCAGCCTCTTCCCCAGGAGAAATGGGTTTAAACTGGAGGTGCAACAGCTTTGTTCATGTGAAATATCAGAGGAGGAGCTGCCTGCTGTGTAAATGTTTCACCTTACAGGACATAAAACACTGTGTAGTTGTAATTAGCCTGCAGATGACACATATCCATCCAGAAGAGACTGTAGTGTTTTGGATTTACACCCCTGAACCCTGTTTGGCTCTGCCTTCATTGATGGAAAATGCCTCTTTTTTTTTTTTGAGGCATTACTAATTGTCCCAGACTTGTAAGGCAGTGAGATAGCTCTAATTCATCTTTCCTGGCTGGTATAAATATTCTGTGATGTGATGGGGGCTTTTTTATTCCTGCACCAAGTGTCAAGGCATCTCATGGTTTTAACAGGTGATAAGAAAGAAACTGTGCTTCCAGCACCTGGGTCAGGTAGGGCATTGAGTTCAGGAGTGTTTTGGCCCCTGTGTAGAACATAATTGTCCCAGACTTGTAAGGCAGTGAGATAGCTCTAATTCATCTTTCCTGGCTGGTATAAATATTCTGTGATGTGATGGGGGCTTTTTTATTCCTGCACCAAGTGTCAAGGCATCTCATGGTTTTAACAGGTGATAAGAAAGAAACTGTGCTTCCAGCACCTGAGTCAGGTAGGGCATTGAGTTCAGGGCTGAGAGGGAAAGAAAAGGAGAGGAGATGAAGGGGGTGATAACTGATAACCCCCATGAGAGTGAGAAGCCATTAAGTACTGTTGATTATGACAAGTCTATTTTTGCCATCAAACTGAAGTCCCAGCACAGATATGAAATAACAACACAGAATAACTTCATCATTCTGTTGTGGCTCTTTATTATGTATATTCTTTTAGTCAGTTTTCTTAAGGCAATACTTGTCCAGCACTTACAGCCCATTAAGCACATCTTTCCAAAGCAGTCTCTACTAATAGATGTCCATTATCAGTAGCTTTGTAAAATGACTAAGTAAAAAAACTGCTTAGCCAGCTGGAGGATGGGGTTACTGTAAGTTTAATGCCTCATTTCTCATGTCCCTTGCTATACAAATACAAACATTTTTGGCAAGTACTTTTGATTGTTCATCTTGTGACCCTCTAGAGTCCTGCATCCTTATAATAGCCGTCTTCAACTTCAGCTGCCTTTTGTTCAGTCAGGTGTACAAAGTTTTGGGGGTTTGGGATGTTGGGTACACGGCGATCTTTGCCTTGCCCAATTCTGAACTTTGTATGTGCTGGTCTCTTGATTCGTGCCTGTCAGAATCACTAAGAGTAAAGCCTGCAGAGACAAGTAGCACCCAGGTTCTGTGCTGGGTGGTGTCACTGAGTGCCTGTGTCACTGTTGTCCTGCTGCAGATACCGAGTGGCAATCTGGGTATGTTTGGCAATAGCGGAGCAGCACAAGCCAGGACCATGCAACAGCCGCAGCAACCGCCAGTGCAACCTCTTAATTCATCCCAGCCTAGTCTTCGTGCTCAAGTGCCTCAGTTTCTATCCCCTCAGGTCAGACAACACCTCACTCTTTCTTTCCCTTTCCCTGGAACTCCTCCCATGTGCTCTGTCGTGCTCCTGAGGCGTTGCAGCCGCTGCTGCCCGGCTGTGTCTGTGTTATTTGTTTGTTTCCTAGGCAGGAAGATGTGGCATGGCTGAGGTGTTCCCACATGCATGTCATATAATTACCTCTAAGAGCACGTTCTCGTGCTCCTTTTTGCACAGTGATGTTTCTGAGGCGTTTGTGCTCATCTCATTTTTTATAAATGAACACTTGAGTACGGTTATTATGATTGTTGTCGAGCCTCTTGCTAATTTTTTTGATGGTTCATGGTGATAATAACATTTTCCAGCTGATGTGACTCTTATTGATGGCTCACGCAGTTGCCACTGTTAAAAGTAAATGTACAATGTTTAACACTCTTCTCTCCTTTAGGTTCAAGCACAGCTTTTGCAGTTTGCAGCAAAAAACATTGGTCTCAGCCCTGCACAGTTAACCTCGCCAATTAATAATCCTCAGCATATGACGATGTTGAACCAGCTCTATCAGCTGCAGCTGGTAAGTTAAAAGACATGGCAGATAAGCTCTAAATCAGAATTGAAAGCATGAAGATAAAATAGGAGAATGACTAAATTTTTAAATGACATGACAGATCTTCAAAACAATCAGCTGCTGATTTCTTTGGTGAAGTTTCTTTTTAAAGAAACACAGTAATTTTTTTTTTTTTTTTTTGCCTCGGGCTTTATAAATAGTCATTTGTGGAATAATTATCCTTTACAGCTGATCAGTGGAACTAAAAATCAGCTGTCTTCCTAGTGGTGTGAATAACACAGTGTGTTCTCAAACAGCACTGGCCTGGGTGTTACATGGCAGTGGAAAGATTAAACTGGACACATGTGTCACAACAGAATGAGACAAATCTTGGCAGTGCTGGTCACCTGAGTTACCTACAGGACTTCTTCACTTGCCTCACTGAAAAATAAAGTGTAGGATGAATTTCCTTTAATTAATGGAGTGTATATTAAACACATCATGTGATGAGAACACTTATGCTGTGTTTGAAAATGTGTTTGAAAAACATCTCTGTTTTTAATGCATATGAAAATACTTAACTGGATACTGTGAACTCAGTATTGGCCAGGGTTAAACATAAAATTACAGATGATAGATTAGTTCAGTTGCTGATCTCAGTGTCTAGTCAAACCCTTTTATTCAGTGTTTGATACTGTTACTAATTTCTGATTATTTTCTCTAGTTTTGAGGTGCACAACATTATTCTCATAATAATTGAACAGTACCCAGCTACTTGAAAAATACCTGTACAGGATTCCTATGGATTTTGAATTCATGAAACTGTTGATGAATTCATCAAAGTGTTTCAGAGAAACTTACTTTGCAAAAGAATTTGCTGCCAAGCCAGCTACTTGAAAATTGTGGATTTTTTCAGGAATAAAGCAGCACAAGTGATTTAACAAGAAAGTGTTGGCAGAACTCAAAATGACCAAACCAAAAACAACAATCAGTATTTATACTGTTTGTATAATATCATAAACTTTTATTTTAATTTTTGCTTTGCGTTACAGTTATTTCAGAAAAAAAAAATAGCTTCCTGTCTTTAATGACCACTTTTTGCTATGGACTTATTAGTTGTTTTTGTTTTAAAAATGAACACGGGACTTAAATAAACGCATTATAAAATGCATTTGCAACAGGATTATTGCTGTTGCTGCATGGAGTGCTTTCAGAGCACTGCAGAGCTGGCCTTGTCTGTGCTGTGGCACACAGAGCAGCTGGAGGGAGCGTGCTGAGCTTGCTGAGTGTGCTGTGTCTGACTGTCCCTGTCCCCACAGGCGTACCAACGTTTACAAATCCAGCAGCAGATGTTACAGGCTCAGCGTAACGTTTCCGGACCCATGAGACAACAGGAGCAGCAAGTAGGTGTCCCTGCCAGCTCAATCTCTGCTTTAGGGGTTGGTTTCAGTAGTTTGGAGAGGCTCAGTGACATTACAGCAAAGCAGCTAAAGCATCCTTAAATCAGGGATGCAGTGCTGGGCTGGGAAGGTACTGAGTAAAAATAAAATAAAAAGTAAAGCTGATCCACAACCTTGCTGGAGGAAAGCTCTTCAGCCCTTTACACAGGCAGTTTGTGTTTGTAAGGGGATGCAGTGTGTTGTTTCTCTGTAGAGAAATGCAGTGTTCCTGTGCATTGCCCACTGACAGGTGTTTGTTGGCTCTCCCTGCAGGTTGCACGTACAATCAATAACATGCAGCAGCAGATCCAGCAGCACCAGCGCCAGCTGGCCCAGGCCCTGCTCATGAAGCAGCAGCCTCCCCCTCCACATCTATCTTTGCACCCCTCTGCAGGCAAATCAGCCATGGATAGCTTTTCACCCCATCCCCAGGCTCCCGGCCTTCCTGACCTGCAGACCAAAGAGCAACAGTCTTCACCGAACACCTTTGCTCCTTACCCTCTTGGTGAGTGTCCTCCTGCAGCAGCTCCACACAGGGAGGCCATCTCCTCTATTCACACCTCCAGATCTGGCTCCACACTGATGATTTGTTGATGTAACAAATGCATCAAATGCATTTGTTGACGTAACAAATACATACATGCATACATACATACATATATATATACATATATACACACACACACACACACACACATATATATATATATGTAGACAGACATATATATATATGTATATCTATCTATCTAGGTAGATAGATATAGATAGATATCTATATAGATATACATATAATATGTATAGATGTATTGGTAGATAGATATAGATACATAGATATTGATATAGAGAGCTAAAGATAGATAGATAGATAGATAGATAGATAGATAGATAGATATAAATATATCTAGATACAGGTATATCCAAAGAGGAAGATAAATATATATATATATATAATATAGAAAATATATTAAACTATATAAATTATATATATATTTGTTTATTAAATAAACAATATTTATTTAATAAACAATATTGTTTATTAAATAAACAATATTTAATATTAAATACTCTGCTCTGTAGTCTAAAGAGAAGATGTAAGAGACATGCAAGAATCTTCAAAAACATAAAGGAGATCTAGGAAGACATTTTCTTGCATTTCCTAATGCAAGAGGTAATAAACTTTAGTTGCATAAAAGAAGATCTAGTTAGACATTAAGAATCACTTGAGCAGAGTAGAGTACTGGAATAAATTTTCTAGGAAGTTCCTGAAATCTTCACCAGCATTTTGTGGTAGGTTAGGCAGAGATCTGTCAGATATGATTGAAGTCAAAATAATTGATTGGGCCTGAATACAGAGGGAACAGAGCAACCTTTCAGACCTGTTTGCTATGTGATTGTTTGATGTGTGCTACAGACTTCCTTTCTGACATAAAGGAATTAATTTAATCTCTTTGTGACTCTCTTTATGCTGAATACAATAGTATTGCCAAGCTTTATCTGCCATGCAGCAGTTAAGAAGGTAATTCTGACTGCTGTGGTGAGCTGTTGTGGCTGGCAGCATCAGAAGGCAAAAAAAATTTGTGAATTAAAGGCCTAAGTCTGAGAGGTTCTTATGATATCTCAGCTTTCTGTGATCTGCTAAGGATTATATATCAAGAAATACCCAGATTCATGTCACAGAAGCATTTCAAAATTATTCCCGTAATAACAGTCTGAGTGATTCTGTTCTGTGTATACAAAATAGAAACCAGTTACTGCAGAACCTGCTATGAAAAACAGCAGCTGTTTGTCTGACCTTTAATTGGTTCCTTTTTGGGGAATTTTTAGCAAAACAAAGTGGCAGACATTGGTGGGGGGTGCTGGGGAGACATTAGGAAGATTTTGGCTTAGCCATGGAATAGTGCAAACTGGTTTAAATGCAACATTCCAGTGCATTCTTCCAAGACAAGTGAAAAGACTGCAATACAAACACTGCCAGCTTTAAAATATTATCCCTACATCTTGTTTCCCCCCACCCTTTTTAGCAAGGTTTTATCTTTTTCTGAATTCATGGGAGTTCTGTTGGTGTTCCATAAAAGCAAAAATTCTTGAAAATGTGAATTGAAAATGCCACACATGCATACAGATACCTGAAAGTCAATGCTGAGTAATTCCTGTGGCTGGAAAAGCAAAAATTCTTGAAAATGTGAATTGAAAATGCCACACATGCATACAGATACCTGAAAATCAATGTTGGCTTTCAAACCCAGCTTTTCAATCCCTCATTGTATGATGGATATCTAAGGATCTCTTTCCCCCCCAGCTGGACTGAACCCGAACATGAATGTAAATAACATGGACATTACTGGTGGTTTGTCAGTGAAGGACACTTCTCAGTCCCAGTCTCGCCTTCCTCAGTGGACACACCCCAACTCAATGGATAATCTGTCTAGTGCTGCTTCTTCTCTTGACCAGAACTCCAGCAAGCACGGTAATGTCCCCTGGCACCCCCTGCCAGCCTGGCTTTTGGTGATTCCAGCCACAGTGCAATTGGAATTATTTATACTGTGTTCCTTTTTTTGTGTAAGTGCTCACAAATGGTTGGTGCTGAGCACCTCTGAGCCCGTGAGATTTTATAGATGATTTCTGCAATGAAGGGCTTGCAGCTGTCACTCCCTGCATGCAGTGTAGGAATGTATTTTTCATGTGTTGGGTTTTTTTGCTGAGAACAGGGAGTTCAAGTAAAATAAGCCTTTAGTGTTGGCAAAACAAGTCCCACAATCTTCCCCTTCTTCCAGACCTGCATACCTTCAATCAAAAAAAACCTTTACATTGGCTTTCTCCCACAATTTTTCCAGTATCATCAACCTTTCCCTGTACAAAAGTATATGATGGGTTACATAGTTACTCAGCCTAGAGTTAGGGGCAAAAACTTCTTCCTTTTCTAAAGTGACCTTTATCCTTAATGCCTCCAGTATCCTGAGCCAGTTATTCCTTTATTTCCTGTCTCAAATTTACTCTGTTAGAACATGGGGCTCTGTTAACTTTATTATATCCTGGATTTTATTCTGAGCAGCATGAATTACTTCTTTTACATCAGTTTTTTATTCTGCAAGTAGCTGTACTGCCGAAGCCAAATTGTTGTTTGATAGTTTGTAGGAACATGAGAACAGCCATTTCAAAGCATCCATCCTGTCAGCACTGAATGCCTGGGGAAGGATGAGATGAGGGATATTCCTTGGTATGCTGCCTCAGCAAGTTCCTATTTACCAACAGTGTGATGATTTGAATTACTTAGTCTCTTTTTGGCAGGAATTTAATGCAGAGTTCTTTAACTTGAATGTCTAGATTGTACCAGCAATGTGTCTCTCAGCTGTAGCCCCTGCTAAGGCCTCAGATGCCATTAAGCTTGGCTTACTGTGTTTGCACTGTAGTTTTCTTTTTACCTTTGTAATACAGAAAGAAAGGGGAAAAAAAAGCAAATAATTCCAAAAGAAATCCTGCTGAAATTCCAACCCCCCAACCCCCTGTGACTCCTTGCAGGTGCTATCCCTGGAGGTTTGAGCATTGGTCCTCCGGGAAAGTCCTCCCTCGATGACTCCTACGGCCGCTATGATCTGATGCAGAACAGTGAGTCTCCTGCCAGCCCACCTGTAGCTGTTCCTCACAGCTGGTCACGTGCCAAATCCGATAGTGATAAGATTTCCAATGGCTCCAGCATCAACTGGCCACCAGGTAACTCAATCCAAAGCCTGTCACTCTGATTTTTAAAGTTTTTCTAAGCCTTCTGATGTTTACATTCTTGTAACGAACTTTCTCAACACACTTTCTGTAAATAACTTATTGTTTTACGTTCTTTTATGGAGGAAGAGAAATTTGACAGACTGTTGGTTTGTCCAGTGTCATTGGAGAGGTGGCACTGTCGCCCTCCAATCCAGTGTCACTTCTGGAAATCTATAAATGTTGGAGTCAGAAATGAAAAGTGCCCTTTTTGCCCTGGGAGATGTGTGTCCACATCATGTTATTTCATGCCCTGTAGTGACACAAAGCCTTGCTGTTGGGCTGGTGTCCCTCAAACACATTCTTGAGTGTGTTTGAGGGACACACTTTCTTGAGTCCTCCTGATGCTCAGGAGCTGTGGAGAATCACGACTTCACACACTTCCCTTTTTATTGTGTTGGAAACAGAGTTTCACCCAGGAGTGCCATGGAAAGGACTGCAGAATATTGATCCTGAAAATGACCCTGATGTTACTCCTGGCAGTGTTCCAACTGGGCCTACCATAAACACCACGATACAGGATGTGAATCGCTATCTGCTCAAGAGTGGAGGTAAGCACACAAACTGCTTCCACCTCTCTGCATAATTTCTTTTCCCTTCCAAAAAAGGGTTGGCCTCATTTGTTACAGATATAACATATTTTTTGCATGTGCTCCTAATGTAATAATGCTTCTGCTCAGAACTGTCACTGAATATCCAGAAATAATTGTTTTAAAAGAAGGGATTAAGAAATTTCTTGTTTTCCATGGGAACGTAAATACTTTTATATTGGAAAAGGCTGTGAGACGTAATTTAAACTTCTGTGGTCACTGGAAGTTTTTCTGACCTGTGTCACAAGGTTTTGAACAATATTTTGCTCTCCACACTGCCCACCCTCCTCCATACTTTGTGAAATTCTCAGAAGACTCAATACAAAGTTCCACAGTTGTTGCTGAGACAGCAGGCTTCTGCTACACTAATTAACTGTAGCTTTGTGAGAAGATCAATAAGCAAAATAAATTAGAACTGGTTTATCTCCAAAACCATAAAAGAAAAAAAATTGGGAATTGACTAGTAAACTAGTATTTCCCAGTGCTATTTCCATTCCTTTTGTCTTGGCAGTGCTTACTTCAGAATAAAAAGGGAATTCTATAAAACAAGAAAGCATTGGGACTGTGCTACTTATTAGCTACATGTGCTGGAAGTTGATCAAGGGAAAGGTGGCTTGGTTAATTGTGATCTGAGTGCCAAAATAGCAAAGTTATCTGCACTCTGTCAGAGCACTGCAGTTAGCACAGGAATAATATAACCAGGCTGTTCAGAAGGACCTGTCAGGAGTAAAAATGTGGGGTTTGTTTTAACAGTTACATCTGTGATACCAGCACAGATTGTGACCCTCTTGAAGTGGGGGTCCAGCTCTGGGGTTGTTACCTCAGGTAAGGGATGTGAAACGTGAGGGAAAGGAATGCAGAGTGTTGATTGCCTGCAGTGATTTTGGTTGTGTCTTAGCAAGAAGCAGCCTTTCTTTCAGCTGAAACATGAAGTATTTGGGTAATGAGTAAGGTTGAATTAACTTGAATGACTCCAAAGTGCTTCCAAGGGGATGGGCAGGTTTGAAGTTATAAAAAGAAAAGCTGTAATGTGTTTAATTCAGTGACACTTCAAATAGAGTGCACCCAAGAAATACTCCTCAGGCCAGAAGCCTAAACCTACAGAGCTCTACCTGTAAAACCAGATGATATCCACTACAGGTCTTGCTGCTGTAGAGAAGGAGCATGAGCTCTGTTGGTGCATAAAATGCTTGGGGAATGAAGAAATAACTCCTCTCCTTAGAAAGGTCAGCAGAGATGGTCTTAGCAGAAGTAAACAGGCCCTCAAGAGGTCAGACCTTCTGAAAAGCAGTGCCTGTGGGGGTCTGTGTGTGCTTCTTTTCCTCATTAGCTTTTTAGCTTGGTAATAATAGAATTTTAATAAAAACTGTAGTTGCAGAATCTGTGTCTCTGTGCTTGTATAACTGCGGCCTGAAGCACAGAGCTTGTGCTGACAGACAGAGCTGCTCCCCAGGTAAAGGGTCATGCTGTGGGGTGTGCTGTCCTTGCCCTGTGCACTTAAAAGCAGGTCAAACTTAAGCTTTTGGGTCCATTTTTGCTTTGCCCTGTTTGCTAATGAAGCTTTGGAGGGTCAGCTTCTGTGAGCTAAGACTTGTAGCCACGAGGAATCAGGACCATTTTCAGCTCTGTGGGCCTTTGAATCTGCTATAATTCCATAGTTCCTGCCTGGGGAATAGATTATTTCCAGACAGGGCCTGATAGAGTTCTGTTGCATTAAACTGATGTCTGTGTCAGTGTCCCTTGGAGCACAGGGAGTCTGGTTAAGGTGAAGTTTGGTTGGTTGCTGTTCCAGTTGAAAACAAAGCCTGTGTTTTTATTGAGCTGTGAGGGATGAGATTGTGTTTTTGCTTTCTCCCTTCTACCCCAACACAGTGCTCTTTGCTACACAGCTCACCTATTTTTATTAGTCAGTTAAAGATGTTTCAGTATCACAGCCCATCTCTGTGTGTCAGGAATGATAAGTCACCCAGGATACACACTGATTTTGTTGGTGGCTAGAGAGAAGACTTCCAGCTCTCCTGATCTTTGCAATGAAGATTTTTGATTTTATGCTCAGTTTCTTTCATTTGCTGCCAGTAAGGAGATTGTATGTGTGCTTAGATAGATGCTCAGATTGTAAATGATTTACTGAGGTGGTTTTGTGCTATTTCATTTATATTATCAGTTTGAGAAGAAATTGCTGAAATATATCTTTGCTTTTACTGAAAGTCTGCAAAAATTTAAAGATACTTGTGGGCATTAGGATGTAGGGGAAGTGTTTACCTTGAGTAATTTAGGACAGATCACCCGTGGTAAGAGGTTAGTTAATCATACACATCTCTGCTCATCTACAGTTGCCATTGCCTAAGTCAGCTGGCAGAGGACATTTATAAATGAAGCCTGTTCCTGTGAGACTAAACACTTTAACACTGACTTTCTGAGTCATGTATCTTAAAGGAAATGCAGAATTTACCTTCTGCACTAGAATTGTTCCTGTGCCAGCTTTCTTCTCTTTCCCCCTAAAGACTTCTGCCTCACTTTATCACGCTTCCAGCAAAATTTCATTCCTAGACTTCAGAGACCAGGCTAATAAAGGAGAATGCCTTGCATGGTTTGTATTTGCACATAACAGATTTGCTTATGTCACACCAAACATCATTATGCCCATCTTTCTTAGTTGCTTCTCTGCTGGTTCTGCAGGGTCATCCCCAACATCATCTCAGAATGCCACGCTGCCTTCATCGAGTGCCTGGCCGCTTAGTGCCTCCGGCTACAGTAGCTCTTTCAGCAGCATTGCATCTGCACCTAGCATTGCAGGTACGGCCTTTCTGCTTCCACAGCTTCTGCATTCCCAGGAAAAGGCCCTAGGGAGTGCTCTGCCAGTGCTTGCAGGAGTGCTGCCCCAGGCCAGAAGTGTGTTTGGAGCCCCATGCTAGGTGGGAGCTCTCCTGGCAGCTCTGCGGTGGGGAGTGGTGGATGGTGAGCCTGGGATTGTGCTGAGGAAAAATGGATTTATTCCACTTGGTGTCACTCTGGCATCGAGATCTTTGCGGGGAGGAACGCTGCCCAGGGCCTCAGCAGGAATAGACCCTTCCAGGAAGAGCTGATGTGAAATTTGTGTGAAAGTACTCACTGTTAAAAGTGAAACACCTTCAGCTCAGAAAAGCTTCAGTAGTGCCTCCAAGGGGTGCTTTTTGCATGGCTCTGGGGGGTTGGGTTTGGGGCTCTTCAGTGTCTTTTAATAGTCAAGCCAAAGCCTGATGCTCCCCTATATGGCTGAGCTAAATAATTACCCCATTTTCTTTACTGAGCTCTAAATTGTGGAGCTTCTTTTTGCAAAACATAGAAATTTTGCACGCAAACTGGCTATCCAAATATGCAGTTTGTGCCATTTTAAAATTGTCTTGGGCTATATAGATGGATTGGAAAAGAAAATGCTGATCCACTGAAACCCACCCCACTTCTCTGAGGGTGCAGCCTCTGGGTCAGGCTGCAGAATGCAAAACAAAAAGGACTTATTTGGGATGTTTTCCTCCAGTGAAAGGAAAAGAAAGGAGTGGCTTGCTTTTCTTTATTTGCCATGCATTTCTGGGGTTTTTTTTGCTGCCTTTTTTGTTGTTGTTTTTGCAGTGTCATCTAATGTTTGTGTTACCCCTTGAGAAGCAGTGACATAGCAACAACTGGCCTGTGGTGCTGTGCCTGTCTTGGGTGCCCCATCACTGGCTGGGCTGCTCTGAGCTCTCAAACTCAAGACTTCCTCCTCTCCTCTCACCATTTTACACTCATTAATGTCCTCATTGTCATTGTCAAAATGTTGCTACAATTTGCCAGAAGATGGGAGAGTGGTTGCCCTTTCACTTAAATTGTTATGATTCAATATGAAATAATTGAGTTAAACGATTTAGATAAATGGAGGCAATTTGGGGAATGTGTGTGCATGTAACTGAGTCTGGGATTTTGCAACTGGTAAATTTGGCTTTGGGACTCATAAAATTACTCAGTGCCTGCCTGAAGTCTTAAAGCACTGAAACTTAAATCTGCCAGTTCTAGTTTTATAAAAATTCACAAGCTCTTTGCATCTTGGCCTTTATCAGATCAGATATTTTCTTATTGTCTGCAATAAGCATTAAAACAGTCACAGCATCATTTGCAGGGGGAGAAGATGCAGGACTTTGTCCCTTTCAGTCCATTCCAGCCCTCCATGTGCTGCCAGTGCTGGGAACAGCAGGGCTGTGACAGGGAAATTGGGCTCTGATTGCACAGCACATGTTGGTATCAGGTGGAAAGGCTAAAGGTGAATAAAGATTTGTTTTCTTATCCATTATTTAAATCAATCCAGTCTGCCCCTCTGAATGCTGTAATGTGTCTGCTGTTCTTGGGTTTGTGTTATTTTATAAAACTTTGAATTGGCAGTTACAGCAGCAGTAAGAGTTTGAAAACTGATCAGGGAAAGAACAAGCAACAGCAGAAAGTTATAAAGGCTGAAGGGTTGTGGTGTGGTCTGATCTTCTGAAGACTTAGTTTCTCTCAAAGATACTTGGAAAAAATAGTATAGGTTACTTCAAATATTCAGAAAAAAAGTTTTTGTTGGTCTTTGATCTTTAGAATTTTAATAATGCATCAGAAGAACATATGGATGTACTGAATTCTTTAAAATAGGTAAAATGCGTTGTGCAAGAAAAAGTGTTTAAGTCCTGTTAAACCTTTGAGAGAGACAGTCTTGAAGTGTTTCATTATAATTTTGATGAAATCAGATTTCAAATACCTACGTCCATTTTCTGGACTTCTTTCCATGTATCGTCTTTTACAAGAAAACAAAACAATAGATTTTCAAAAGGGAACTTGCATGTAGCAGGTAGTGTGAGGTTCAATAAACACAAAAGTACTGAAAATTGTGAACAGTGGTTTAAGCAGGTTCAAATATAGGAGTATTCCAATATATTTAATATGGGATGTATAGCACTGGATGCTGCAGAAAGATGTTCTTTTCCTCCTGAGAAGCTGGGAGCATGTAGCCCACAATGCCCATTAGTGAAGAACACCCAAATGTACTGGTTTTCTCTTGCAGGTAAACTGTCAGACATCAAGTCCACGTGGTCCTCTGGCCCAATCTCTCACACCCAAGCCTCTCTGTCCCACGAACTCTGGAAGGTACCCAGAAACACTACAGCTCCAACCAGACCTCCTCCAGGCTTAACCAACACCAAGCCATCCTCCACGTGGGGTGCCAGTCCCCTGGGCTGGACCAGCTCTTACTCCTCTGGTACTCACAGCTCTCTTTTCTGCCTTCTTTTCAGCATTGTTTGCCTCTCCTCTGCCTGTGAGGCTCCAGAAACCAGAGCTTTAACACAGCTGGAGTGTTCTGTGCTGGGGATGCATCTCCTGTCTCATTATTTCACTTTGAATAAGTTGTAAATCTTAAAGCATCTTTCAGCTGGTCATGGCAGTGATTTTAAATAGGAATTGCCCAATTTCTTTAACTCCCAACTAGGATTTTTTCCCCCCCGTTTCCTTGATTTCTAAAAATGTCTTTCAAACATGTGTCCTGTTCTGTGGTGTGATCTAAGACTTCAAGAGGAGCCCATGGAATTTAATATGGAACACATGGATGTGAAGCATTTAGGACCTGATGGCATTACAGGGCCCTCAGGGAATGGCTGAATTTTTTCATGCTGGCTCCTTCTTTTATATGCCTTTGTTTGCTTTAATACAAATAGGAGAAGCCATGGATCTGGCTAAATATATATATCTATATTTAGATACCTCTATCAATATAAACACAGATGTATATGCAGATATTACTTCTATTTTATAAAGCTGTTTTAATAATCTGCTTACACTAAGTTGAGAATTAAATGTTCTTCCCTCTTCCTGCCATTTATTTTGAATGTTCCTTCACCAAACCCCCACCTGGAAGAGCAGATAAAGCTGCTCCCAGGATTCTCTCTGGAGCACCCACAGGATGCACTGTGACTCTCAAATGCCACTCCTAAATATCAAGCTTGTACAGCTTCTTCCTGCAAAGCACCAAGCTGTAAAGCACCAGGCTGAGGTTGTTAAGGGCAGGGGTTTTTTTGTTATGTCCTTGTATCTTCAATCAGAACATTGTCAGTGCAGAAATACCTGTTTTGAATAAGTCATGCACATTAATCTGTCATTGGCAAGAGAGCAGAGTGCTGCAGTGCTATAAAAATCTTTATTAGCAGGCAGCAATCTGAGCTCGGACATCAGAACTGCTTTTAAAATGTGTCTTCCAGATTAATTCTAATGCATCCTGAGGATCCAGTTTGTGGCAGTGCCATACCTGCATCTGTTAGCTCCCTAATAGTTACTGTGGGAGTATGAAAAATGCCACAGATCTTAGAAATGTAACAAGAGCAGCTTTTCATTCTGCAACCTTTCCTTCCAAGGGAGGCAGTAAATCAAGATGTGAGGAAAATGCTGCAGGATTTGTTTTCAGCAGCACTGAGGCTTGTTAGTGTGTTGTGATTCCAGATAAATCTGCCTGTAAGGTGCTCTCCAGAGACTGTGCTCAAATGTTTTGTTGTGGAATTTGTGTTGCAGGTTCTGCATGGAGTACTGACAGCTCAGGGAGAACAAGCAGCTGGCTGGTTCTTCGGAACCTCACCCCCCAGGTAACTGCAATTGTACAAAACTGCCCAGGAAAAAACACTTGAATTTAAGAGATGATGAGAACAACACTTAGCAGCCCTGGCCATTTGATTCATTTGAAAGAAGAATAATTATTCTGCATTTATTACAAGTATCTGTCTTCTGCAGGGAATTTGTTAAGTGTTCAAAGTGCTGTCAAATCAAGTATGAACTTTCAAGCCTGTAATTAGTCATTCAGTGGGCACCATTTCAAGTTTGGAGGTGAATGATGTTGTAAAGCACAGACAGAGATGTAAAAATCTGATTTTCCTATGGGTTTTTTTGGGTCCTTCTCATATGTCTGTCACATCCTCTACTTGTCCTTCACGGTGTCATTCCAAAGGCAGAACATAAGTCACAAAGCCTTGGATGCAGACATCCAAATTAAGCTTTGGGAAAATTTAATTACATTTATGAAGTGTGTTTTCCCTTTAACTTATTTCTGGATTTCTGTGGACGTCTAATGATAAATATATAATTTGTATAACCTAAATTGAGAAAATTCATGCTCTGGACTGTAGGAAATTCTTAAAAACACAGGATATCTCCCTCAATGAAGAGAGCAATAAGTGTGTAATTAAGTACTTTCCTTTCACTTGTACTCACTCTTTAGCTTTTAAGCACTTGTTAATGAAGCATTTAAGATAAGATTACAATACCACAGGTAACCTGTTGGAACCCTGGATGCTAAGAATCTTAAATTTTCTGTACTAAAAGGCAGAAACCCACAAGAAAATTCTATATTTGACCTGAGGTCATAAAAAAAGCCTCCAAAATTAATTAATAGCACTGGGATTATGGGTGTGTAGTTTAATTAGAAGTGTGTAATATCACAGGACAAAAAACTTAAAAGTTTTAAAATATAGCAATATATAGAAAACAAAATAGAAGTTTTAGGATAATAACTAATCCTTCTTCTTCACCTTCTTCTCCATGGGTTTGGGTATTATTTTGTAATTAGACAGAAAAGTCCTCATTGTGGACTTCGAAGGATTAGTTATTGAGTTAAAAGTAAATATCATTTAAATATAATTTCTTAATCAGATAATTTAACCTTTAAAAACCTTATATAGAAAAATAATTAACCATTTCGTAACTTATCAATAAAATACCACAGAACTCACAACTTACAATATGGATAAAAAACAACAAACACCCAAGCCTAAACACAAAACACCCATCTCAGACCCTCCAACCCCAACCCTAAGAGAAACAAAAAGGAAGCAGCAGTAAGTGGTTTGCCCTTGCCCCTGGCAGATCGATGGCTCCACGCTGCGCACGCTGTGCCTGCAGCACGGCCCTCTCATCACATTCCACCTGAACCTGACCCAAGGCAACGCTGTGGTCCGATACAGCTCCAAGGAGGAGGCAGCCAAGGCCCAGAAGTCTCTGCACATGTACGTTCCTGCTTCCTCTTCCTTTTGTACAAAGCTGGTTCCAGCTCGGGGAAGATTTTTTTTAGGCGTGACCGATCGCTAGTTACTTCAGCTTCGTTTTTAATGTTACCTAATGAGAGAGGAAAAAGTTAACTGGGGATGGGTGCTGAATAAGAGGGTGTTAGAAAACTTCATTCGGCATAAATAAAATCCTCAGTTAGGACTTGTCACCTGTAAGGCCACAAAGAAATTGTAGGATGTGGTAAGGATTCCAAAGGAAGCTCAAGGAGAGCACAGGACAAGGTTTTAGCTTTGGAAAGAAACAGAGAGGGTAAAAAAAATGCTGAATAAGCAATATGTTCGTGGTGGTCACCTTTTTTTTAAAGGGGTTATGAGAGAAGTGTAAGACAACAAAATCTGCTTTTTAGGAGTTGTAAAATCATGGGACTAATTGGCATAAGGGCACAAGAGGTAAAATCAGTGCCATTAGGCAGGATGAAGAATACAGAGAGTGATGTTTCAGGAGAATTACTTGGGTATTTAGAGTTGGAAAGCAATTCCCTTTATCAACAGGTTACAGCATCAGCATAATGAAAGTACTGAGGCAGTGGGAGCATCATGTGGCTGGAGAGCTTCTGTCCTTATTCCTGAAGAGGATTGAGGCTCCAGGATGTGTCAGTTAGATGGGGTGGTCTCCACCTTTGTGGATTTGGGTGTTTGTGGGTGTAGAAAGGTGGATAGAAAATAGGACAGAGCAGGCTGGGTTGAAGAGACAGGAGTTGCTCAGAGTGGATGTGGTGGAAATTTTCACCTTAATTTCAGCTTGGGGGGAGGTGGATCCCTGTCACAGAATTGCTTGGGGTGGGAGGGATGTTAGAGCTCACCCAGTGCCACCCCTGCCATGGCAGGGACACCTTCCACTGTCCCAGGCTGCTCCAAGCCCCATCCAGCCTGGCCTTGGACCTTCTAGTGATCCAGGGGCAGCTTCTCTGGGCACCCTGTGCCAGGGCCTGCCCACCCTCACAGGGAAGAATATGTTCCTCATAGCCCATCCAACCCTGCTCTGTGTCAGGCTGAAGCCATTCCCCTCTGTCCATAGTCTGTGTTCCCTGGAGCTCCTTCAGGCACTGGAAGGCTGCAGTTAGGTCAGGCTGGCCTATCCCAGTTCCCTCAGCCTTTCCTGAGGTTGTTCCAAGCCCTGTCCAACCTGGCCTTGGACCTTCCAGTGATCATGGGGCAGCTTCTCTGGGCACCTGTGCCAGGGCCTGCCCACCCTCACAGGGAAGAATACTTTCCTCATAGCCCATCCAACCCTGCTCTGTGTCAGGCTGAAGCCATTCCCCTTTGTCCATAGTCTGTCCGTGTTCCCTGGAGCTCCTTCAGGCAGTCAGATCAGGCTGACCAATCCCAATTCCCTCAGCCATCCATCCGTTCCTGACAGAAAACACCCTTTACCCCCCACATCTCAGGTGTGTCCTGGGCAACACCACCATCCTGGCGGAGTTTGCTGGCGAGGAAGAAGTGAACCGTTTCCTGGCGCAGGGGCAGGCGCTGCCGCCCACCTCCAGCTGGCAGTCCAACACTGGATCCACGCCCGGCCGCCTGGGCTCCTCGGGCAGCTCCCACGGGCTGGTGCGCCCCGACGCCGGCCACTGGAACCCCCCGTGCCTGGGGGGCAAGGGCAGCAGCGACCTGCTTTGGGGAGGGGTGCCCCAGTACTCCAGCAGCCTTTGGGGACCCCCCAGCGCCGACGACGGCAGAGTCATCGGGAGCCCCACGCCCCTCAACACGCTCCTGCCGGGGGATCTGCTCAGCGGGGAGTCCATCTAGGAGACACGGTGGAAGTAACAATCATCAGCACTAAAGGATAACAGAGAATTTAAAAAAAAAAAAAAATTAAAAAAAAAAAAAGAATAAAATGGTAACCCTTTCCAGTCCCGGGCTTGATGAAGAATCCAGCTTTAACCCATGAGACTGGCAGCCCTCCTTTAGTACCTCTGTCCAATATTGAATCTGAAACTGCAGAAGTCCTTGTGAACTGTTCCTGAAACAGTATGGGCTCCTTTGGTCAGTGTCACATGCTAATGACAGGTTTTACTTTTTTCATGGCTTTTTTTTGTTTTTGTTTTATGTCGTCTTTTTATGTTTGTATGGTGATTTTTCAAAACCAAGTATAAAAGCTGCTTAGAATAGGTCTATCATGAAGGGCACTTTTCAGAATTTGGGCTGGAAAGGGTTATTTTATCAACTGGGGGGGGTGGGAAGGGGAAATGAAAGCCTATTTAAATGAGCCTGTGACTATTATGCACATTACAGAGGCGGACCCAGTAATCAGAAAGGGTGAAGTGTGATATTTTACCATTGGTACAGAAAAGTGACGATTCCGAGTGGCAACTCTGGACTGTACAGGTTGAGAGGGGGGGAGGGAGGGCAGGGTTGGGGTATCTCTGTGTCCACTACTCCCATGGATCTGCCTATGCACATTACCCTTGTTTCATTACTTTTTCATGTCATTTTTTTTAATCCCAAAAAATAGAAAAAGTTAAAAAAAAAGAATAAAAAAAATCAACAAAGAAAGAAAAAAAATACTTAAAAAAAAAAAAAGCAACAAACCATATCAACATGCAAATACTTGAATCCAGCAGGCCAATAACAAAATGTGAACACTTTCTGAGTTGAATTATTACACTTCCAGGTCAGCATCAGTACACAAAAAACAGGCTCTAAGAATTTTGTTTTTTAAAAGTTCAGACTCTATGTTTTTGTTGGGACAGATGTGAGTGTGTGTGTGTGTGTGTGCCTGTGTGTGCGTGTGCCCACGTGTGGTTTAACTCAACGTGTGAAGTTTTTTCCTTTGGTTCAGTATATGCTTTTTATTTGCTCATTGGTCAAATGTTTAATTGTTATTAGCTTCTAACTTTGCACTGAGTGTCCGCAGCCCTTCTTGTAGCTAATCCTGTAATGGTAAAAACACACAAAAAAAAAAAAAAAAAAAGGAAAAAGAAAAAAAAAAAAAGGAAAGAAACTGATAGAAGGGGCCGGCGACAATTCACGTGTAAATGTTTACTCAAGGACTCTTATTGCATTTTAAAATTACAGTGTGTATCTCTGGAGAATAATATGTATATCTACCTTTAGCGGCTTTTTATTGTGGACTAATGCAAGAAAATTATTACCGGAGTATTGCACCATTTTTCCATTCGGAATATAAAGTTTAAAAAAAAAAATACTCTTGTTGAACTGTGGCCATAGATAATTGTAAAGAGTTGATAGTTCCCTTGCAAGCAGGAACAGAAACAAGCACTTGGACATAAGTTTTGACTGCTTTTGGAGGAGCCAGGAGTTTTGGCTCCCACCTGTTTACAGACCTTTTTTTCTCCTTCAAACTTTAAAATAAAAAAAGGAATTTAAAAAAAAAAAAGACTTCCATCGTAAAGAAAACTATTTTCAGAATGAAGATATGCTACTTCAGAGCTCTGGGATTGAACAGTGTTGTTGTATTATCCTTTTCTTTGGCCATTGCTGTGTACTATTTTTGTTGTTGTTTTCCTCCTCTTCGTCAAAGTGGCGAAAACTTTGTGATCACTATCTTGCACATGGTGGAAGATGTCTCAGGAAAGCCGGGTTTCCCGAGGAGCAACTCCACACCATTTCATGTATTTTTAAAACCCAACTCCTAGCACTGAAGATATTATTAAAAAACAAAATAAAATAAAAAAAAAAAAAAGACAGTAAGAAAGAAGAAAAATACCTAATCTAATGTGTAGCAGTTACATATTTACCAAATAATGGACTCAAAAGAAATAGATGTTTGAAGAGTGCTTTATATATTAAAAAATCGCTTTATGTTTAAAAAAAGATCAATGTTTTTGATTGTTTTGAAAGGAAGAAAGACAATGGAATAACATACACTTCAAGTATGTTTTAAAAATTATATGAACATTGTGCTCCCTGCCTGCTTGGATCAGGAAACTTGTGCATTACATTTTTTTTTTTTTTTTGGAAGATTAGCTTTTTAATGGTTTTATCAGATTTAAAGGGTCCTGCAAGATTGCAAATTAACAAAAGCTGGTTTTATAGAGGATCATGAACTATGCACAAACTGGGTTCAAGACTTGTTTTGTTTTTTTTTTTTTTCCTCAAGTTTTAGTAGTGTATTTAGCTGAATAACCTTTCCTCAGAGTAATTGCATCTCATTGCCATTACACGCCTCCTACATATATATTTTATATATACATATATATACACACACACACTTATATAAAATATGTATGTGTGTATGTGCGTGTTTACATACAATTTTCCATGCTGAAGTTTAGCATTGAGTTGTAGAAAAACTCCTGATATTTTCAAATTGGGAATGAAAATTTCTGTTGGAGGGGTTGGGGTGGGAATTGGGTGGGTTTTGTTTTTAGGGGCTTTTTTTTTTTTTTTTTTTTTTTTTTGGCCTTTCCTTTTGAATTAAAGATGTCTGTAACTCTGAGATTAAAAAGAAAACCAACAATTGTGGCTTTTAATGTTTATTCTCCTCATAGAATGTGATTGTTAAAAGAACATGCACCGAAAGTTGCTTTCAAGAGTACGAAGATTCTTTGAAACTTAATAAATTGCAGTTTTTTCTTGGCTGTTGAAATAATGTGTACTTTTCTTTTATGCAGGGGATACTAGATATATATATATTGTTAAATCTGTGAAGGTATTTCATGGAAGGAGTTTAATTTTGAGTGAGAATTCCGTGTACAGACAGGCAGACCCCTCCTGTTGTGGTCACCCCTGTGCTCTCTGCTGGTGACACTCATGAGCTTTTCCATCAACGCTTTGCACGTCTCATCCAGGAGCAGCAGAACCCATTTTTGCCTTCAGATTCTGTTTTTTCTCATTTTTCCATGTCTCCAGTAACACAGTAGCTGAGTTTGTTCCCCCCTCCAGCCAGGCTGGGGCTCCCCCAGTTTCAGGCCCTGGATGTCCCCAGTTGCCAGTTTAGAGATCTGATCATCCTGAGGTGAGCAATAGCCCCTAAAAAGGGGAAAAACAAAATGTTTTCATGTTTGGCCTTGCAGGGTTTGAGTGTAGGGAGATATTCACCACTTGAAGGTTCTTTTACCCCAAAGATGCCAACCTGAGGAGGTGCAGGGCTGGGTGTCCATGGAGAGACCCCAGCCCTGCCCCATTCCCAGGCTTTTCCTGCCTCCCCCAAACCAGTCCCTGAGCCCCCAGCACTGGGGCCACTGGTGTGGGGTGGTGCTGAGCAGGGCTGGCCCAGGTCTCGGGTGTGAGTCTGGCCAGAGGAGCTCATTCCCCCCACCCACTGGGGAAGGAGGATCTGGCATGGACAGCTGGGTTTTGGAGAGTTCTCCCAGCCCTGAAGCACCACCCACCCCACGCTGTCACTGGGATTGTCCCTGAGCCAAATTCCCAGGAGGGACCCAGTGGGCAGCTGGGTCTGAGTTGTGCTGGAAGAGATGATACAGTTAAAATACTCAAATCCAGCTTAGGGGGTAATTTCTGTTATGGAAACAGCAAAATCTCCCAGTCTGGAGCCTGTTCTGCCAATTTGACTGATCTGGCCCCAAAATCACACAGCTCTTTTCTACTGGAAGCTGCTTCCCCTCCCACATCATTTTCCTTTTTTTTTTTTTTTTTCTTCCTCTTCCAGGTGTTTATAATGAAACTTAAAGAGAGTTGCCTTTTCTTTTCCTTCTCTGATTCTTTCCTGCCTTGGGCATTTTGTCCTTGGCAAGGAGGGCTTTCAGTTTTGGTGTCTCTGGTCTTTGTTGCCAAGACATTGAGGTCCCTTATGGAGTCAAACGTTTTATTCTTCCATGAGGTTGGCAGCAACAACTTTTGGTAAACCAGATGCACTCTTAAAATTCAGAACTTCCCCCGATACATTAAAAGAAATTTCAGCTTCTGGCCAAAATCAATCTTTCGATGTTTGCATAACTATTTTTTTCAGTGTCATTCTTCTGCTTCAATGCTATCCAGTATCTCTTAAATTGTAAAGAAAGCTCCTGATGATCAGGATTCACCCTCTGGCCGCAGAATCTTTACAAAAAAAACATTTTTAACACTTTGTGTTTTTCTGTATGTTGCGTTTGCTGTACCCTCCATGGCACCTTCACTGCATGGCTCCCTGTCTAGGCCAAGAGAATTTCTCTTTCCTAAGTGGTCTGAAACTGTCAGATTTCTCAGTTCTTTGTCTAGTTTGTGGGTGGCACTGGCAGAGCAGATGTTTTGCTTTTCTGCAATAAATATATTATTGTTCTTGCTAATTCAATATATGATTGTGTATGTGAAGGAACTTTTTAATTAAAAACAACAAAAAAAATGTATATGGCTATCTGTATATGTTAAGAATTACATGGAGCTGGAAGAGTCTGGAAACGGAATTGGAAAACACGTTAGGATTTGGGCGCGGAGCTCCCCCGTGCCAGCGGAGCCGCGGTGAGCCGAGCGTCCCCCGAGGGCCACCGGGGCCACCCGAACGATGTCACCTGCACGATGTCACCCTCTGTGTGCCACCCGACCGGGGCCACCCGAACGATGTCACCAGCACGACGTCACCCTCTGTGTGCCACCCTCTCTGTGCCACCCGCACGGTGTCAACCACACAGTGTCACCCTCTGTGTGCCACCCGACCGGGGCCACCCACACCACGTTACCTGCACGATGTCACCCTCTCTGTGCCACCCGCACAATGTCACCCTCTGTGTGCCACCCAACCGGGGCCACCCGCACGATGTCACCCGCATGATGTCACCCGCACGGCGCCACCCTCTCTGTGCCACCCGCACAACGCCACCTGCACGATGTCACCAGCACGCTGCCACCCACATGATGCCACCAGTGATGTCACCCTCTCTGTGCCACTCTCTCTGTGCCACCTGCACGATGTCATCCACACGGCGTCACCCTCTCTATGCCACCCGACCGGGGCCACCTGCACGATGTCACCCGCACAATGTCACCAGCACGCTGCCACCCGCATGATGCCACCAGTGATGTCACCCTCTCTGTGCCACCCGCACGATGCCACCCACATAATGCCACCTGCACGCTGCCACCCGCATGATGCCACCAGGATGGTGTCACCCTCTCTGTGCCACCCGCACGATGCCACCCACATGGTGCCACCCTCTCTGCCACCCGCATGATGCCACCTGCACGTTGTCACCAGCACAGTGCCACCCACACTGTGTCACCCTCTCTGTGCCACCCTCTCTGTGCCACCTGAACGGTGTCACCCTCTCTGTGTCACCCTCTCTGTGCCACCCTCTCTGTGCCACCCTCTCGATGCCACCGTGGCCCCGGCAGCGCTGGAACCCCAGCGGCTCCGGGAGCTCCTGCGGAGCCGGGACTGTCACCGCCACGTCCTCGTGTCACCTCCCTGAGGTGCCCCAGCCCCGCTGCCCTCCGTGTGCCCGAGAGGCCCCAGCGGCTCTCCCGAGGTCGGACGGACTCGCCGTGCCCCGGCAGCTCCCGGTGCTCCTTCCCGGAGGATGTTCCACCCAGAGGAGATGATTCTGGGGTGATTTTTGTCCTGTGTGTGCCCCCCGTGTTCGTTTTTTACTGCGCCACGCGTTGTAACGAGTCGCTTGTAAACGAAGACGTGATCCCGGTGCAGTCGTGGTTATTAAAATGGGCTCAAACACAACGAGCTGCTTTGCTTTCAATAAATGTTCTTGTTGGTCCAGGGGCTTTGCCATGAGCTACCTGTGGGGCTGCTGACTCCTGGGAGAGGTGTGTGTGTCCCACCTGCCTGTCCTGAGTTATACTTCATGATTTTAAGTGTTCATTTTGTTCAAGGCATGGTCTTGATAATATTCACAACTGTGGCAGATTCCTCTGTGATTTTTCTGTTGTTCCACCTCCTGGATCCTTTGCCCGCTTCTTAATTTATCTGAATTTATTCTGTTTCTTCCTAAACATTCAGGTGGGCTGCAGACTTGTGTGACCGGTGGTGTTGGAAAAGAGCAGATCCTCTTTCCATTTTTGCAGTAGGCCTCCTTGTTTTCGTTGCAATATTCAGGCTTTACAATTATATTTTACTCACAGGAATATCCCACAGGAGCAGGAAAAGCTGACATTTTTTTCATTATTTTATCCCATTTCAAGCAGGACCCACTTTTTCTGCCTTTTCCTGTCACTTGTCTCTGTCCCTTCCCATCTCTTCCCTAACCTACAGATGCCAGGGAACTTCTGATAAAGGCAGAGGAGGTGATTATTCCACAGGTAAAGAATGGCAGCTTCTGCCTGTGTGAAGTCTGGAAATTGCCTAATTAGAGCTGTAATCCCAGTGGGAGATTGAGCAGAAGCAGAAAATACCTGAAAGACAGAGGAGGGGACAGACATCAGCCCCCACAGCTCAGCAGCCCTCGGGTCTTTGCTGGGATAATCACAGATCCTGAAGGAAAAGACTGC